ATTCCAAAATATCTCGATAACGCTCTTAAGGTTTTGTTTAAACTTCACGAACATCAAGGCGACCGTATTGGAAAAAAATGCTCCTGTGAACGATTTTGTAAGGTTCCCCGTGCCGAGAGAATCATTGCTGAAGTAAAATAGGTAATGGGGTCATTTCGTTGCTATGACAGCTCCAATGTCATTGCAACCCTGATGGTGACAAATTTTCATCTTAATACAACGGACGTCGCAAGTTTTCAAATGTTTGTTTATGGCGACGTAGTTTATGTTCAGACTTGGTATTCAGACCCTGAAAAACTGAATCGAGCCACCTTCATATGCCAGGACGGCCTATGTTGTTGCAATATGGCCCTCATTTCTTTTCGACTCTTTCGTAAAAATTTGGGCAACTTGCCGGTTTTTTTTGGGCAAATGGTTTACCGCCCCCCCTGGCAAAAAAATTCCCGTACGCCTATGATCCCTCGTCGCGTATTTTTAGGTATATTTTGTCTTAATTTTCATTGAATATTATCTGTGAGAAGTTTCAAGTCGCTGTCCTTCTTCTCTTAATTCTGACCCTTACGGAACCGCCAAACACGTGGAAATCAGAATATTTATTTTTAGGTAGATATACCGTTGATTTATTTACACATTTTAAAGCAAGGCCCATCTCTCAAACGTCTGGGTTTGATATCCCGAGCTAACAACGATGACATCGGGATCTGTAAGATTTGAAGAAATGACGCAAGTCACCGGTTTGAATTACAGAGTGAAACCAAAGACGATATCATGGTGATGCACAGTGCACATAATGAGAGGAAGCGGGAAACTATAGTAAAAATTTCACTAGAAAATTAAGGTACAAGTACAAAAAAATAACACTACAGTCTGCAGTCTGCGTGGTCTGCGTTTCAACATGACCGCGAATCCCGGGGGATGAATATGAAAAAGGCACCCACCGCGTCCTTGCACGTGATTACTTTAGTGACAGCTGATTGGTACGGTTCTGACAGTTCCTGGCTTATTTCTCAAACAAAGATTATGGAAACCATGAAACTGTTCTCAGCGAAACTACTGGGACCAAATTAGGCACTAGGAGACTGTGAATTTATTTTTTTTCTTTTTAGGTAAACTGTTGAACGTAGACGTTTATTTTCATTTGTGAACCAGGAGGACCAGGAAGGTTCAAGAAAAGGTTCACCCCAGGTGCACCTTTTCCAGTTCTATGCCAGGTCAAAAAGCTCGCATAAAATCGCTTTTGATTTTTTAAAGTTCAGCGAAGCGAGTGAACAACAGAGAATCAAACATAGCCAGAGGCCGAAGTTATTCATAACAATTTAAACCTTAAAAAGGCTGCGCTGTGTTCCCTTGAAAACCCCCCAATTTTGTGATCCTCCCAGCCGCTCATAAGCAAGGGTTCCCTCGCTATTATAGAATTTTAATCATGTGACCGTGACCTCAACCTTTCATATGGAGCTGGTGAACTATTGTTTTGACACCAGATATGCCGATATTATGTCGTCACGTTCAGGTCTATACCCTCGGGAGGCTTTCCATAGACTAGCCTTCCCGCAGACGTCCTTTGGGGTTCGTTCGTCACGCATTCATTTCTCCCCCACGGATGGTTTTTCTTACAAGCGAGTAGCTCAATTTAATCTGGAGTGGATCTTTAGTAAGTTGGATTCTGGATTCTTAGTGCTGGATTCCGGATTCCACGAGCAAAAAATTCCTGGATTCCGGAATCCGGATTCCCTTACATGGGGCGACATTGAGGTTTAGTCAATTCCATGCTCAACGTAATTGACTCCTTACCCATGCCTGACATATCTTTAATCAGTACATGCGACTGCTATGCTGTTTTTGAAGCCTGATTTAAGAAAAACAGAGAATTCTTTATTCACTGTTTGTTTTGTTAGACTTGTTATTCACCGCCAGTAACCTCATATTTGACTTCGGTCTAAACGTTTAGACCCAAGTCAAATTTAGAAGGATTTGTATCGAGTCATCAGTGCATAACTCGGCCAATATGCCCCGAAATGCTAGTTTTGGCAAGTAGGCCTCTTGGATATGGTCTCTTTAGAATATCCTGACAAATCAAATTAACACCTTACTAGCTCTTACCATATTTCATTTCTTACTATTCCTCCGCATTTACAATTAATCAGGCCCCAGTTGTTCAAACGGTGGATAGCGCTATCCGAAGGATCAATCTCTATCCGCTGGACAGTGCAATTAGTTTCCCAAATATTTATCCACTGGATAGTGATTTATCCGGTAGATAGCGCTATCTAACGTTTGAACAACCGGGGCCAGTTCCACAACCACAACGCCAAAGTGTACGCTCCATAGCGTCTTGTTAACTTTTAATCTATGTGCGCAAGGGCTAACCATTCACTCCTCCTTTCGGTTTACCCGAATGCGACGGTCGATACAGAGGCAAAGTTTAGCCCACAACGAAGGCAAACGTTCTTTGTCAAGGTTCGTGGTTCTCAAAGAAACTTCTCAAACTTGACCTTCAACTCTCTTCTTCACTGCTATGAGTTTCTGATTGTATTCAATTGCTAATGAAACAGGATTGTCGCTATCGACGTAATTCAGATACGGATTTCATGTTTGCAGTGTGAGACGCAGGAAGTAAAATGTTACGCGCAGTAGATTATATTTTTAATTTGCTCTGCGCATTCAATTCCCTTGAGCCAATGAAAAAATTCGTATTTTCCGTGGCGTCCAGAACCACTGGTTCATTACAAATTTTAAAGCCGAGTGGCTCTAGGGACGAGAATGGTCGAGAACGTGAAAACGTCAAGCAGTGAACGTGAGTAAATTTACTTGTATTTTCACACCCTGAATCCACTTTCCTGCAAGAAATTTCATCTCAACTGCGTATTCGACTTTCAACTTATTTGATCTTTGTATGTTTGTTCTTTGTATATAGGTCTTCGTAAACAAGCACCAGCGAGTAGCATTGAAGCTTTCTTGTTTGTGTTTTCCACCTTTTGGCGAAGCATGTACAAAAAGGTTTACCGGTCAAAAAGATGCTAAATCATAACCTGTACCGCCCTTTTTTCTTGAAGAACTGTAGTGATTTGTCTCCAAACTTAAGTAACCTTTGCTTCTATTTTCCTTCGTAAAGGAGATGGAGTGGTCAGACAAACATGATTTGGTTCTATGCCGAGAAGTGTTAGTTAAAGGGAGATGCATGGAACTAGATAGCTGTAAACCTGACTGGCCTTGATCATCCGACATTCAAAGTCAATAAAATATCCATGAGAGACAGACTGATCCTGCTGATTACCAAAAATACAGCGAAAATACGCCAAGAGGAAAATGCCACTGAAATCACTTGCGAAGAGACCTAACTAGACCAAAGCTCTCGAAGAGAAAATTGCCAGGAGAAGTTGGCCGACGACAAAAAGCTCCGAGGTAAAGAAAACAGAAAAGGAAGGAGGAGCAGGTCGAGAGGAACACATGCAAAGCGCTATGGAACGTTTAGGGACATTTTGAACACTTTGATCATTCGCATTTCCTTTGTTTCCTGCATAGGAAACTCGTCGTCCACAGCAAACGAGCGCTTAACTCTCGAATTTTCCCGCCGTGAACGACGAGTGGCTTTTTAGTTCCTCCCCCATAACCGTTTCTTATGTAGTCTTGGTGTTTGTCCTTTACCTTTCCAACACGATAGCACTCTTTCGTCACTTTTGCCTGAAAGTGAAATTTGATAAAGTTCACTTCGTTTTTTGCGGTTGGAGTTATTGCATTTACGTATCTTTGAAGGTCCGAACGTGTTCCGTTCAACTACTTCCTCTTTCCGACATTTTCCTCTATTTTTGGCGTTACAGCTTTCACTTGCACAGAGATGATCCACAAACGTGGAGTACAAATCCAGGAAAAGAAAAAAGTACAGCACAATTACGAGGAAATAAATTTCAGAGTTCATGTTAGGCGGGGCTAGCCAAAAACAGCGTCCAAAGCAGTATGATGTGTGGTTTCTCCAAGACAGACGTTCAACTAGCAACAGAAAAGTTCCTCTTGTAATGGTTCCTAGGTTGTCGCAGCATTAGTTCGTTGTTTAATGAAACTGTTATCGGAGATTAACCACTCGAACGAGTTCGCAGATCTTCGGTCGGTTGACAACCCTTTACAAAATAACGAGCAGGTTCCACAAATTAACCAGTGCGGTTTGCTAGTTAAGAAGGCTGTTTTGAATTTTCCTCATCAACACCTGCCAGTTTGCACAATTTGCATGCGTTATCAAAAACAACCTCACTAGTGAAAAGTTTACAGTACAAAAGTTTCGATTGTTAACGCAAAGATGCGACCATTACAATCAATCGCAGCATACCAGCTCATTATTCATTGCTCGAACACCAACTGAAAACCGAAAAAGGAGAGTGTTTAGACTAGCTGGACTGCACCACTGAACCAAACTAAATATAATGAATACGTTTAACTGACTCTAATACCACCACACTACGTCCATAAAACCCTCATTAGCACCCTTCATTTTCAAGGTGCTTTCTTATTGTAATCAAATGTTTTATTCTAAATTAAAACTCTATTTTACAATACCCCAGGCCTTTAAGTACTGACCATTGACGTTGTTTTTTTTAAAGCAGAAACTGTCATGAGAGTGCATGCGTGCGGTAAGAGAATCTTAATGGACCAATCACTTTCGTTTGTTTAGAAATCACTTTTGATTCGTGGCGTGCTACCGTCAAACCATTTCTAAATGAACTGATTTGCAGTAGACAGCTGCCTATTAGTGAGTGATTGTCTGGCTGTAGGTAGTGTTTGGTGCTTAATTTTATGCAATATCGTTCATCATAATCGCGAAGCTTGATTTGCCGACCACGCAAGAGCAGCACAATCTAGTCGCACCCAATTTATCAGCCAGTTCTTTTATGACAAATTGAATAATGGTCAAGAATATTCAGTGAAGGTACATATTTTTATCGCTTATTTTCATATCCTTTTCTGATATAAATGGATAATAATTTAATAATTTAATAACAATTTAATAGCGCTGAAACGTCGTATGGAGTAAAATCTTTCCCAGCAAAATCGTGGACAATGTTGCTGATAGGACGCAGCACACAATAAGTGTGTAAAAAAGCTGAACATTTTTTTCCAGTTGATTTTTATTTCATATCATTTCGCTAAAATTTATCAGTACATCCATTGGTTTCTAAGGTGACAAGGAAAGGCAAGACAAGCCTACAATTCTTGGAGTAAACTTTGTTACGGTCAACCTTTTTGTAAAAATTTTAAATGATTTATGAACGACGAGAAATGACACAATGATATAATTAACACCTACGTTCCTACAAAGGTCGTAAAAAAGCTACCAATTCAACTTTACTCGAGACTGAAAGGAAAATGGTATAGGATACGCAAATCGCTGCAGGGCGAGTGACTTGAGGTAGGGTTTACTTGGAGCGACAAGTTTCACTTAGTTGCCTTCTTCTGTGACAAGTTGATCTTGTCTCCTAAACTCAGTGCCATTCCCTAAAAAAAACAATTAATCAAGATGAACACGGGAATAAATCTAGGTCGAGGAACCTAGGAGAAATGCCAATTACCATCACGCTTAATTGAAATTACCTGACTCTTCGCCCGGATTCGTACGTGACCAGTAACCGAGGGCCCTGATTGGTCACTGGGCTTCTCTATCGATACATTAGCCAGGGCATCCTCTCCAAAAATACTGCGAGCGTACAAATTAGCCGCCATAAAACCGCAATCACCGGCTAAAGCCTGTCGAAGCAAAAACAACTTGTTAAGATTGTTACGATATCTAAAGAATAACCAGGGACAAAGGATTAAAAAATCCCCCGACGAATTTTTCATAACCAGCCGGTGTGCGAGCAATATACCATCGATCCGAAGGTTTGTTTACCATAGAAGGAGGCTGCTTGGGAAATAGGGAACTAAAAAATGGCGTTCACGGCTATCCTAACTAGAACAGAACGGAAGAAATGCAAGAATACTCAAAACATATCGCTCTCTGGTTGTTTATAGCGGAGTATATGCAAGAAAAAACATCTACGCCGAGAAATAGGCCAAAATTTGGGAGAAAGTGGACGAGGACATAGTTAATTTACGGCCAGGAAGAAGGAGAGGGTTTGTGCCGGGACACTCAGATTTCTTGGTCTAACAATTTTTCTGACGTTAGCAGACAATCTTCTAAGCTACTCCTTGTGGATACCGCGCGGAAGACCCTTGCCTCAGGAAAAAACAAAATTTTGCTTAGACTCTGCCAGCAAAGGATAACAGGACAAAAGCCTATACCCATAGCTTCTCTGATAGGTCGGGAGAATTGATATCGGTCTGTTATTATTTTTAACAAGAAAAGCATTCCAAACCCAAGCCACTCCTCGTCACGATGTAAAATCTGATTCTGTTTGGCTGTTTTCTTTATGGTCTGGGATTAATAGAATTAGTATTTATTCAAAATATTTCTCTGTTTCTGACTGGCTAAAATCCTACGCATAATTCATCATAACCAGCTGCTGTCGACCAAATTTGGAAGAAACTGGCGATATGTGAACAATGACGTCAAGTATGCAGCAAAATTGCCAGATTATTGAACAGTTAACCGAGAAGACCTTGAGACAAGGTTGAGTTGTTCTGGTAGTGAGTACAAAATGGCGAAACATTTCAATCGTTTCACGAGGAGGAAATGGGCGAACTATTGGCTAAACACATGGCAAGAACAGCAAGAACCCAACCTGCTATTTGGAGAATATTTGCAGTTCTGAACAACCATTTATCTCGAAAACTTGCTGATAAACAGGAACAGGGGTCTTTTTTGCATGAGCATGCGCGACCGCTGAACAAGCGATGTACATGGAGGCTCACCACAGGGTTTGCCTTCATCAAACTGGCGCGTCTTAAAGCTATCATAACGATTATTTTGCTCGTTGGTCTTGGCGAATGTGCTTGTGATTTAACAAAATGTGTAGTTTGCAAAAAACTCTAACATGGTCTTAACAAAAGCGAAGTGGACCGGCTTTAACATACACGAGCTACTATCAAATTTCATCTCCCCACTTGACCTGGACAACAGCGCGCGTATATGTAGTGCCTGGAGGATTGCGCTGACCTCATCAAAGTCTAAACAAAGCGCAGAAACGTTTGTTGATGCAAGTAAACACTTTCAATTTTCTTTGTTTTGAAATGGGAAAGGAAGAGAAATATATATAAAAAAAAAAACATAGCAAATTTCAGCAAGTGGGTTCGAAGTGCGCGAAAGCTGATGTTCAGTTCAGCAGTGAATTAATATATGTTCTACAATTTTCCCAGCACTTTAAAGCTACAAAATTAAGAGCACACGACACGTAGATTAGTCACCCGGTGAGATATTGGTCGTAGTCACTCTGTATGTCTCGAACAATTAAAAAAAAAATGAATATCAATGAGACACAGTCAAAACTGCATTCGATAGGACCGAAATTAAAGTCCAATCTTGTGACCGATTTTGATGAAACAAACGGTTAGGTTTCCCAAGAAGTACAGTAAACATGTCATGCCGACCAAAAGTTAAAAATCATTAGAACATTTAAGTTCTGGCTAAAAGCAAATTCCTGTAAAAGATGCGTTACAATGTTAGTCCACGCAAAAACAAGAAGTTCTACAATTTTCCTACAAACAAACTTTGTATCGCTAAAATACTTAAGTAAAAAACTTTCTATTCCAACTGAAAACGGCGTGGTAGTCGCCCGCTGATCGTTATTAATCAACTCCCGAAATATGGCTAAATCAGCTATTAACAAATTATTGACAGAAAGCCTCTACGGCATCGAGAAACTGATTTACATCCGATTTATAGACAAACACTAAATAAAGAACATTTTGCTCAATAGCTACGCATCAGCAATGCATTCTATGCCAAACTTTGCGGTTCTTAAAGGGGAATCAAGACACGAGTCGAGCGCCAAACAACAACAAGCAGCCATTTTCGTGTCAGACATCCTTGAGAAACTTACTCTTTCACCTCGTTCAGCGCATCAGTCTCCACTTTAAATCAACAGATCTTTACTTATTTTGTACAACGAAGGTCTTTCCTAAGTTCCTGCTACCATTTCAATCTCAAGCAAGCTTTCAAAGTGAACAATTTGGTTCCTATGACTATGCAGCACGGTCGCTGTCACTGGTCGCGTGCTCTTTGACAAATCAGCGGTCGCGCATGCTCATGCAAAAAAGACCTTTGTTATAAACAGGCAATTGAAGATATTTTGAATGCATAATAAACTAATTATTGAATTTGGCTTTCGTATTACCTGAAGAATTATGGAGATCTTGGAGTGTGTTGTTCGTCTCGGCCTATAACACCCTCCTCGATCTCCACAATTCTTCAGATTATGCTCAGCCTCATCCAATAATTGCTAAATATGCAGTAATATACGGTATGGGAATAATCTGGTATCTAGTATGAAATAATTGGTTTTTGATGGTGTTGCAGAGGCTACAGTTATTGTTGGTGAGTGTTTTTCATTATTTCCAGTTTTGTGTATTAAGTCAGTTATAGTAATCGCACCATCGGCAACACCAAGAAACTTCCGAGATAGTTGATACAGACTAATTAATTGTTACAAGTTGTTGTTTTCATCTCTGTTACAATCGGCCTCCGGCACCCAACAATCGGCCGAACTTCCAAAATTTTTCCATCTCACTCTGTATTCTTTTTTACCGCCGATGGATCGGACGGCCAGAACTTTTGATACCTCATAATACTTCGACATTCTAACGCGAGAGATCTATCTGCGACAAAGCTGAGTTAAAAATGATGATCCATATTGTGCTATATAGTCGAATATAGAAAGCTAATTATCATACGACAATAATGGAAGCAAACATCGCACGCGCCGCCAAGGATTAATCTCAAAACACCAAGTGAACAAGAACAATGATCGCAAAAAAATCACACCTCCCTAAAGTTCCGCCTACACTGGCAGAACGGACAAAACACTTCGTTCGCTTCAAGAGATGTTCTTCATAGTGAACTTAAATCTCATATGTATTTTCTTTTGTCGAACTCACTCGACCATTTTTTTATAGAAAGGAGCTGATCGAGAGTTCATTGCCCTCGCCAATACTAACAACAGTAAGCGAACAACAATGATCTCAAAAATCTCACCTTCGAAATGTTCCGCCTACAAGCTAACAAAAGGTTTCGTCTTTAATGAACTTTTCGAAATGCTCGTAAAAGTGAACTGAAGACTAAAATCTTTTTTTTTCTTTTCTTGAGAGAATAAAGTTGCGCACATAAAAAAGTCGAATAATTCAGTTCAGCAGGAAAAATTTGTGGATTACAAAGATCTTTAAAACGTATTCTGGGCCGCTTGGGTGAGAATAAGAATGAAAGTCGTTTAATGTGTTGTAGACTCACTTGTCAATTTTATTTTGTTAAGAGAATTACGGGACGCATTTTGCGCGCTCTAAAATTAGAAAAAGGTATGAATTACATTCAAAGATCGCACCTTTGAATGTAGGTCGCGCAAATAATACTGAGCTTGTTTTAATAACGGTTTAAGAACGTTCTCTGTAAAGTATTTCTGAAATAATATTTTCTTGTTCAGAGCGCTGAGAAAAAAATTACGATACGATCAAAAGTGAAACGGTTTTCTTGCTCAACCCGCAAAATATGCACTCCTGCGTTGTGTGCCGCAATAAATCTCACTTGTTAATTTATCATGTCTGGTAGTAGTTACATGTAAGATAAGCAAACAGAAAACGTTTACGCCCCTATGGTTTACTTGACAACGAGCGCCTCGTGGCGAAACTTTCCCCTCAGTACCCCAGTTAAAATAGCATCGCGTCAAGGCATAAAAAACCTCTCTCCTCCCCCCTAATATTACAAATTTGTCACGCGGAAGATTAAACGATCATGTACAGACTGTTCGGTCTGTTTTCGGCAGCAACACCTAGGACAAAAGGGTATTGTTTTGGTGAATTGGACCCGGAACAATAGACCATTTCTTGATACGGATAACAAGACGATTACGAACCTTTTCTGGTGTAAGACATTTCATATTTGTAGAAGCAATTAAATGATCCAAGTATTCGCGAAGATCGGTGATGTTTGTGTTTACAGTCACCTAGAAAAAGAACATAAAATTAAGCCCATCAAATAGTTGCGACGTAAAACATTACAGGTTCCCTGCATTATTAGCGATTTACAGTGACGCCAACGGCAAACGGCAGATTCAAGTTGTGAATTTCTCAAAATAGAAAAGAGCAGATAAGAACAGAACTACTAAATTTATCCGTTGAAGAAATATACAGTAGAAGACAAGTCAAGGGAAAAGTTGGTCGCGTGATACAAATTCACGTTTGCCTTTTGCCGTAAGCGTGACTCTAGATCTCTCTATTATATTGAAACAACTGCACAACTGTGTTGCCTTATTTTTCCTAGTAGAGTATTAACAAAGCATGGGTAAAATAAGGATGAGCGCTAAATGTAATCACTGCGAAATAAGATGCAAATATCTGACACTGTACATAGTAAAAGCAAATTAGGAATCGTTTTTAAAAAATGACGGACCGAATACCGGTTACGTAACCAAATATACCGACAGGAATATTCACCTTGTTTTCCCACTCAAACTCAGCCCACATTTGCCTGAACTCTGAATCAGTACAAGTAGCCGGTACAATGTAGTCCATAATGTCGATATGAATGTCATTCAACACAACACAGTTACGGTCTCCTGTACCTCCAGAGACGTCATACACTGTCGTAAAACAGCAGCAAAAAAACACAAAACAAATTGACAAAAAAGACAAATACATTCAGAATGACGAGATGTAATTAATGTGGGTAATTTAAAAAAGCTTGCGCCAATTGACTCCAGCTTTAGCGTTACCCGCGTTTTTTAGGGATTCCCAGTTTGTTAACCTACATAGTTATTTCGAGTGTTAGAGCTTTATTACGACAAAGGGCACATGAAACTCCAGTGAGGGGTCATCACACTCAGATTTAAAACGACAACAAAAAAGTGCAGTGCAACTTGTTTTGCAACACTGCTGTAAAACGAGTTGAAAAGCAATCTTGCGTGGTTTACTACCCAGGTTCAAACCTCTCTTGCAACAAATCAGGTTGTTGCAAGTTGCGTGAAAACTGACGTCTGATTGGATAAATTACACAGGAGTCACGCAGTACAAGGAAGTTACGTCTCTTACTGCAAAAGGAGCAACATCACTATTCAACCCATTTTGCAGCAGTGTTGCAAAACAAGATGCATGTTCTTGCTACCCGTTTCACCGTACTATTATTCACCGTAAATGTATGGAGAACCACTGAGACTGACATAATTATTTAGTCTTTTGCGACTACTGTATCTACAACAATACCTTTTGTTGCTAGAAAACTGAGATGTAAGGGTTGCTCTCTGAAAGCAAAGCTTGGATGTGGAATGAGTCTCCCAGAGGGATTTGTGTTAGAAAAATCACCCTCAAGATCGCCTATTTGAGTGACTGACTAATCGTGCTTTTGAAGCGACACATTTTAAAAATTGCTTGACAAAAAATTTTAGATTTCATTGCAGTATTTCGACTCCCCTCATATTGTGACGTAAGCATCACTCATTGATTCCATGAAGAAACTTCATGATCATTTATTTAGATTTCTTCAGTCCCTTGAGATTATGGAGCACCGGGGGCGAGCATGTTACGAGCAAGCAAAGGCACACGAGGAGACACTTTCCTTCTCCGTTCGTTCTCGCGCTTTCTGGAGTCTCGCCGTGACAGCTTGCCCTCTTAATCAGCTGACAAGAGACTGATAGCAGTTTACAGGAGAAAGAGTTGATCAGGTATACTAACCGCGCATAATTCAAAGATGCTATTCGGGATTGTTTCTTTTTTTGGGGGGTAAAAACCCTGCGAAGACAACAACTTTCATCGGCTGTCATGTAGAACGTGCTCTTTTACAATTAAAAAGGCAACGGACATTCGAAATTCAACAATTTGATAGAAAGGGCACTGACGAAACGTTAGCTTTAAAGATTACATAACGTTGACTGACGCCTCATCCGTGTATTGAGATAGAAATTACTTACCTATGTTGCCGAAAATGATTCCATTTTCTGTGGAAGACACTTTCACATTTGCCTAAAAATAACGTAAAAAACAAAAGTAAAATATTCCCTCCACCTTTTAGGGACTCTTTCTAAAAATGTATGCCAGACTCATATGCAGCTACCTTCGCTTACAATTGTCGCACTGCCTTCTACCGTGACAGGATCACAAAGTCACGCTTCAAATGTAGATACTTACTTTGATGTTAGAGAAGTCGTTTGGTCCAAGCATGATAGGCTGTGGCTTTTCCACTAGCTTCAAGTCTCCTACAACAAACAAATATTAGAATTATCTTAGACTTGCACCGAACCCAAATTGATTAACCTTTTTGGTCGACCGATGGCCCTTCAAAGAGCCCCCTGCACATACGAAATTTAACTTACACGACTGGATGTTCATTGGTTGTTTTTGGTTGCTCCCATGGTCAAATCAATAATTAAACTTTTCTAGTTTTATTTAAAAGCGTTTTAGAGTTTACAAAACATTTACTATAGTTGTAAATTGCATTTGTGTAGTTACAGTATTGAACTGGCCACAGGCGTTAAGATTAACAAACTTGCTTTCGTAGACTTCCCTTATGTGGGGGAAAATAAACTGGAAAGCAAAGAGACGGTGTTACGCGAAGGTGAAAAAACTATAAGTGTAAAGACGAGAAGTTATAGTAAAGACACGTCTAGTAACAGACTAGACAGCATGGCGGGGGTGGGAAGGTACCGGGATATGCCTGCGATCGTATTACCAAGTGTAGCCAGCTCCAAAGTGACATTCTGAAGGGTGTCGGAAGTCTGGTTCACAACTAGCAAGTCTAGCACAATGTCATACTGGTTTACATTCACATAAGCCTCGGCATAGACTGGGTCAGAGAATCCTGTCAGCTGGGCCACCTATCAATTAAATCAATACTTATTGTTATAAAGTTATAAACCTATAACTTTTACGTACTGTGGTTTAACTTCTTTTTTTGCTTTAAAACTAGGACACATGAACGATATAAAATTATTTTTTTAAGGAAATAAGCCAAGTACGAGTAAGGAGGACAGGACCTGACGTGCGAAAACCAGAAAAAGTCTGAGAGAACTATTGCATAATCCCAATTATACCAAGGCCGCGAAGCGCCCTGCTTGTATAATCGAAATTATTTTAACAAACTCCCTTCGAAATATATGAGAAATCCCACTTATTGTGCTATGACCCACTTTTACACAAACTCCGTTCGAAATATACGAGAAAACACCAGATACAGTTCAACGCACAAAGCTGGTGCCAATAGATTGTTTTCACATGACGTCACGGCGGCCATATTGGTCTCCCGAAACAATGAAACGTCGGCCATGTTGGTGTCCCAAAACAGTCATCTGGGAGTTGAACTCTTTTTTTATGCAAATGCTTTCTTTTGTTCCAATAAACTGGCATATATGCTGGCCACGTGAGTGAAAACACCCCGTACAAAAGCAAATGGTCACATATGACTGCAAATACTTTAATACATACATACATACATACATTTTATTTTATTGTGTTTTGAAGTAAGAGTACAATAACATGCCCGCGGGTAGCTAAGCTAATCTAGGCAGGTCATGTTTACAGAAAATAAACTAAATACAGCTAAAAGTAACAAGAGAACTAAAGAAACTAAAATTGACAACAATGACTAGAGACTACTGATAAACTAATGGTATTACTAATAATAAATGACAACAGTTATGACAAGAGACTACTGATAAACTAAACGATATTAATGATTACATATCAAATAAGAGGAAAATAAATTCAGCTTAACTTTTTGAACGAGTTCTGGGAGATCAATATAACAGTCTTCTGAAGCTAGGATCTCAAAAAGCGTTTGTTTTATTTTCCTCTTAAAGGCATTTTTTGAAAGTTTTCTTAAAGATACAGGCATTTCATTCCATATTTTTGTTCCGATTCTAAAAAATGAATTCACTTGAATTGAGAGTCTGGAACTTTGTGTGTAAAAGTTATTAGAGGGAGAGGATCGAGTATTATAAGAATGAATATCAGAAATATCTTGAAAGAGATCTTGAATGTTTCCAGGAGCATTATTGTGTCTTATTTCAAACATAAGGTTAACTAAATGCTCATAATACAAAAATTTTAACGGTAAAACACCGGCGTCAATAAATAAAGGAATTGCATGCTGATTTCGCTCAGAAAAATAGATAAAGCGAAGAGCTCGCTTTTGAAGCTTGAGAAGCTTTTCAAGATGCAATTTATATGCTTGGCCCCAGGCCGTCAAACCATAAGTTAAATAAGGAGCAACAAGGGATCGATAAATAGTTATAAGTGTATGTCTTGGCAGAAAATGCCGTAGTTTACAGATCAATCCTACAGGTCGGCTCATTCTAATAGCTACGTGGTCAATATGATGTTTCCAAGAAAGATTATTGTCAATTATTATGCCTAGATATCTCACAAATTCTTTACATTCTAGAGTCACATTCTTATTTTGACCATTGTCGAATATCATTATTTTAGGGTGATAGGTAAGTTTTCTCTGAGCCGGTCTAAAAATGACAAAATTTGTTTTTTTAATATTCAAAGTTAGTTTATTTGCCGTTAACCAATCGAACAACTTGCAGAGTTCTTGATTTACAGTCGACTCAAGGGACTTGAGATTTTTGTCAGCATATACGGCATTCGTGTCATCAGCAAATAAAAAAAATTTAAGTTTGTCAGAGGATTCTTGGACGACGTTGACATAGATTAGGAGGAGTAATGGGCCTAGGACTGAGCCTTGCGACACACCGCAAGTGGTATTTTTTCTTTTAGATATAAAGGAACCAATTTGCGTCGTTTGAGTTCGACCTTCTAAGTAAGACGAGAACCACTTTTTTATAACACCACGAAAACCATAGTGATCTAACTTGTGCAAAAGAATTTTATGATCGACTGTATCAAAAGCCTTTTTCAGGTCAATAAATACACCACATGAGAACAAGCGCTTGCCCATGTTTTCCTAAATGGTACTTACAATGTCAAGAATTGCATGCTGAGTTGAGTGCGCTTTGCGAAAGCCATATTGACATTAAAGTCTCGCTACAGTGACAATGCTTGAAAGGAAAAAAGGAAGGAAAACGTCAATGACACAATGTTTATCTAGAGTTCAGAATGTCAATGAAAGCAAATTGTTTGTCAGAATTTCCAACTGACACAGGAAGCTTGACGAACTGACAGTAAAGACTCGGTGAAGAACTGCATGCGTAAATGTGAATGGGCTTGTAGTAAATGTCTGGAAAGTAGGAGAGGACCAATCAGTCATCTTTAAAATTTCTGACAAGGGCACATTAGAATTAGCTGCTGCAGTGGTCGAAGCTCCACCCAGAGTGTGCTTTGAAAATATTGGTGTTGATGCTAGAGTTCTTCAGAAACAGATGGAGCCACCTTCCAGGGGGAGCTGAGATCGGTTTTTGCGGTTTCACGTAGGAGATGAACAGTGAGACGCTGAACAAATTAGGGTGAACAACATAGCTAAATTCCACAATAATTGCTTTAGAGGCAAGGACCGGTTATTCCAGAACGGAAAGAGATCTTTAGTCCCGCAACTTACATTCCAAGTTAGGGAGTAGCTTGCCTGAGGGGGACGATTGTTGAATATTGCTTTTAGCAGCTGGGGTCACAAAAGAGTGTTGACCCACACCAAGGCCGTCCAATTTGGGATGGGTGGTTGAGATAGCCAAACATGCAACATTCACTGAGCGATAAGCAGCTCCACTTTTGAAGTACTCTGTAAGGCAGAGAAGTATGTCAGCTAATGTTGCAGAAAGAGGATAGACCTTTCGTCTATCACACCAGCGACTCGAGCGTCCCCAAGCTGATTTATACGTTTTCTGTGTTGAGGGGTGAGCTGCTGCAAGGAGAATCTCGGTAACGTCGTTAGAAAGTCCCATTGCCTGGTACTGTCCCCGGAAATGTGAAACACGGCTAAGTGTAATAGGTGAAACATTGGATGTATATTTTGGGGGCTCGCGGGGTCTGTTAGAAGGTGTCTCGTGCTAGGAAGAAGGACTGGATGATCGACCAGAAGACCCAGGAGAGGTGGCACCAAGGCTTTCCAGAGAGGCGCAACTAATATGATGTCTGCCTGGTCCCAAGATACTTTGCTCAGTACAGCCAGGATAAAGTGGAAGGGTGAAAAGGCGTAACCCATGAAGGTTGTCCAGTTTATTGTCAGGGCATCCGAGAGCAACACCTCTGGATCCAGGCGCCAGCTAACGTATTTGGGGAGCCGGGAGGTTAAGAAGCAAACAGGTCAACTTTCCACTCTCTGCTGTCGTTGAGCACCCTCGATTCAGAGTCTGCCACTGTGTTCAATTTGCCTGGTACATGCTGAGCTGTTACCAATATGTTCCGCTCCAGGCACCAGTTCCGGAGTTCCAGTGTTAACTCTACGAGACAAGTTGACCGCGGTCCTCCCTTGTTTTTTACGTAGGACACTGCCGTCGTGTTGCCTATGCTCAGGCAAAAAGTCTTGTGAGACTGCTTCTTTGGAAAGGACTTTAGGGCAAAGAAGGTGGCCTTGAGTTCTCGTACGCTGATGTGTTTGGTGCGTTCGACGGCAGAAGCTCTAAGAGAGTTACAGCCATAGCTGTGTGTTGCTGTACTTCCTGAAAGGAAGAACCAGGATGAGGAAGTCATCCAGATAGAGCATCACACGAACACCCCATTTGCGAAAGTAGGCTGCTACTGGTTTTAAGAGTTTAGTCAAAACCCTTGGAGCGGTCTTTAAGGTGATTCCCTAGTAAAAGAACCTAAAATAGATTGTAGATGAAACTTGGTACACTGATGTAACAAGTCAAGAAGATGATAAAAAAGTAATAAAAAGTGGGGGTCACCGTTCTCGTTTTGACGTCACAATGCTGAGAAATACGACTATTTTGGACCCTTTGTCAAAAACCGCGTCCAGCCCAAAACTAGACAAAAACGAGAGATTTTTTCGATGATGCATGTGGTATCGCACAGAATTTGACTTTATTGTATTGTTTATCCACTTACATACCAGAAAAAATACCTTTTAATGCTCCTGTTTTTATTTTACGCTCCAAAGTAGAATTGAATTGGACACGCGCTATTCGACCCGTGATAGCTCAATCCGTACAATTTAGTAAAATTGCCAAAAAACCGAACACAGATTTGTGCCAATTTTTTTCTCATCGAAAGGGAGCACTGTCCTTATTAAAATCATGAAATAAAAAATGGGGGTCACCGTACTCGTTTGTACGGTAGAGCTGCAGAAAGTGCGCGCCAAATGCATTTTCTCCGAGTTTTGAGAGGGGACTGGGGCGAGTTTCAAAATAGAATGTATGTGAAAGGGGGAAGAAAGTTTTCAAAAATCTGTTTTTACAGAATTTACATCGAGATATCACATTTAGGATACAATGTGATAAAGAAAGCGTTTAAATAAAAATCAAAGCGAGTAAGCACAAGTTAAACATCCACTATCGAGGCTCTCCGTGAGGAAGTCGAACTCAGCAACACGCGTACTGCCTACGTTATGCACATTCCCAACACATTGAGTCTCACCTCGGCAAGAAACAACCGCAAGCAAAAATTCCAATAGCGTTTCTCTTCAGTCAACTTCATTTTAATAATGTTACTTCACATGCTCTTTTTTACGGCGGCCATCTTGTTATGCGCAGTAAGAGATGCGCAGTGCAAAACCAGGGAATCACCTTAAGCCAAACAGAGGCCTTGAAAGGCATAGCATTTGTTTCTCCAGAGGAATTGTAGAAACTTTTGGGACTCCTTGTGGACAGGAACCGACAGATATGCGTCCTTTCAATCCAAAGTGGTCACGAGGTCCCCTCTTTGAAACAAGGACTTAAGGGAAGAGATATTCTCCATTTAAAATAGGAGTTTCCACGAACTTTTACAGAAAACTCAGGTCTATTACGGGCCAAAAGGTTCCATACTTCTTTGAAATCACGAATAGAAGACTGAGAAAGCCCTCTTTCATGGGGGAGACATGGACTATGGCGTCTTTGGCAAGGAGACTCTCCACCTCTGCGTATGTGACGTGGGCGTTCTCTTGGAGGGGTTTGTAACCAGTGGACAAAACTGAACTAGTTCGCAAAGTAACGGAATCTTGTAACCTAACTCAATGTTGAGAATTGCTGGGTTGAAGGTTATTTCCCTCCACTTGACTATGAGTGCGTCGATTCTTTTGCCTCGGGTTTGGAGGCCCGAAAGGGACGCCTGTTTTTTGTACGGGTATTTACGTTAGGCACTGGTAAAAGGTCTTTTCCCTTTGGGGGTAAGCATTGGCTCGGGCGTCGGCGCTTCGATGGCCGTGAAGCTCAACCCAGGTTCTTAGCAAAGCTTCTCGATAGATCATCTTGCTTTGAGGCAATCGATGGAAAGTCCTCCCCGAAAAGCACTCGTTTGGCATTGGGGAGCGATTGGACAGCAAGTTCAATTCTATCCTTGTTAAGAACAAGAACTTCCTTTTTTCTCAGGGTCGAAAATTGACAATTTACTGAACCTAACAGGCAGTGACTGCTAAACATGTTTTATGATATTCTCTAGGGGGACATCCTTGTGAGATGACAAAGCATCATGAAGACAACAAAGGGAGCCTGTTTTATTTAGCATGCCCTCTACACTCTTTGTCTCTCACTTGTGTATCCTTCCGAGACTGGAGAGATCTGATTGAGGACAGAGTCGTCCAATGCTGAAGCAAACAAACAATCCATGGACGGGATGGAATAATTGTCAAGAATATCACTTACTTGATCGGAAGATCAAGTAAGTGACAGACAGACGTTTTTCTGCAAAAAAGAGGAAAAATCCGCTTTGGGTTCCCACGAAGGGTGTTAAACGTCCGGATCATAAAGGTCGCCGCCATTTGGTGGGCCGTTTGTCCCGTTTGGTTGAATTACATTTTCGCTGGAAGGTATACTGACCTCGCGTTGGGGTTCTGGAACCCCGATTAGTGGCTCATTAGCCAGAGATGGTGGATCACGAGCCCATAATGGTGGCTTAATGAGAAGTAATTGTCAATTGAGCCCTCTTGCTCGGTCACAAGTTCTTCATCTGAGTAGGCCAGGGCAGAAATCGCGTCCGGTTACTCGCCAAGATTTGGCGGGAAGACTTGACGGCTTGTTTGCCAATAATTTTCCATGGACGAGACTCGCTCGTTTGTAGACGTTAAGAACTGCTGGACCTCTTGAAGGGTTTTCAAGATAGCTGACAGGAAAACCTATTCTTCGTCATTAGTCCTTGAGCGTTTAGGAGGGCTCAGGGAGTGCAAAGACTCCGTAACATGGCGGTCGTGCTTGGATCTCGAACGAGACCTGGAGCGTGATCTATGTCGCTTTGACTTGCGAAGATCCTAAAGAAAAGTAGCTACTTACCCCCCAAAAAAGGGGGACTAAAAAGAGCCGAAACGGGTCGTAAAGTACCTAGACAAGCGTACAAAATGGTAAGGAACAAACAGCGCAGAAGGAAAGATGGAGGATCACATGACAACAGCACGATATAACACCGCAGAGAGTTGTGGGATTAAGTCCCATGTGGTCTCTTTTTTCTTACCCTGGGGGTATTTTCTTTTCTTGTATAGCGTCAAAGAGTGGGTCGTAGCACAGTGGGATTCTACCTGACGTTTTCTCATATACTTCGAACGGTGTTTGTGTAAAATTATCGCGGCTTGAAGATGGGATTTCGGTAAGTGAAAAGCTTATAAGCCAAAGAATCCTAGCTGTGGAAAATAGATCTCGACATGTTATAGCGGGGCATGAGCCACGTTAAGGAATACTTATGTCATTTATTTGATTTATTTGGACAAATCGACAAACCGACGATTTGTACACACGCAAAAAAAAAAGACATCCTTATCTACCTGGTTGCAATAAATGCATTAAGTGTTATCTTAAACGGGTTATATTACATCACAGCGCTCAAAACAAAACCAAAGAAAGACTATCGTCAACTCGTGGGAACGTTGTTTAGAAAATAATCAATTGGTCATCAACTCTGGTTTTCCCACAGTGAATGGTAGGAAATGATAGAAATTCACTTTGTTTATCAATATATTTAAGATATACTATCTTTTCTCTGGAAACACGATACTCTTATTGCTGTTTATTGCACTTTATTAAATAACAGTTATTAAGGTATATTTTTTTAGAAAAACCACAAAACAAATAAGCAAACAATAACAAAAACACGGAAAAAAAAGAAAGAAAAGAAGGAAAAAAAAGATACTGTATGGGACTCGAACCCGGCAACTTCGGCTTGACGCGACTATACCTTACCACTACACCGAAAAGTCTTTAATTTATGCCTTTTCCATGGAACTTCCGCCGGCAAACGCCCTTGAAAGATAATCGAGCCGCATTAACAGAGAAAAAAACAATGTAAACGCATTCCAGCGCAATGAATGAAGGAAAAAACAATTGTGCTTTACAAAAAGCCGGTACACCTCGCGGCAGGTTTCTCGATTTCCGCTGTTATTTTGAAGCTAATGGTCAAAATCACATCCATTTTCGTCTCATACAGGTTCTTAAGAATAGCATGGCATCACAATTTCTCACTTTCAGATCACTTTCCACCAAGCTGGAATTTGTACATCCCCTGTGATCTTGCGGCCGAGTCGAACAGCAAATGCTCATCTTCTCGTCAAGTTTAACAATCTCCAAGTTAACCATCGTACTCATCTGAAAGACTCCTCCTTGTCTTACTGAAATTTGTAAGACCTCTAACCTTGGTGTAGAAAATTTGCCACAAAGAAAACTCTGAGTCTGAGCGGCGAACGATGCACGCTCTCGGCGAATATTTTGATACCACCGAACTTCGGCGAGCGCCTGCTTCTTCGAAAGCGATAGATCTTCGCACTCTCGAGTTCGGACCCGATTAATTACGAAGTCCGTCTACTACGAGTAAGCGAGTGACTCATTTGCACATTCCTGTCCCTGTAGTAACTCGTGGTACGCTCGCTCGTCCCCACGAGTTAGACTGTCTAAAGGCTTCAACTTACATAATTAGAGTATATGTATATCTCCTGCTACAAAGATAAACCGGAGTTTTCAACATAAAATGATTCCATCTTCATCATAGCTTGCATAAAAGTAATTGTCAAGACATCAATAGAATAAACAAGGTTTAATGGTGTACTTTAAAAAAAAAAAAACAAGAATACACATACAATTTTGACAACAATTTTACGACTTCTTTGTCTTTGCATCTCTTCCCCGTGTAACAGGCTAAATTATTCACCATTTTCACACAGACCATAATGCACCTTGTTTACCCTATAGTCTTTTGACTGGGTTATGGTTAACATTCCCGTACCTTGTTGAGTTTAGATCCGACAAGTTCATCTTCTTTTTTGCTAGCAGTGGAACCAACAGCTTGAGAAAGGGCTAACGCAAACTGGTCCTGTAAATAAAAAAATTGAATAACATTTAAGTTTTTATAAGCTTAAGACTGCACTCTTAGAAAGCTATTTCGGAAAACGGGGGGAGGCGATAGAAAAAAACAGTCGCCAAGCCCACCAACTATCATTGGCGGATTGAAGTATACTTTAGGGCAAACATAACACAACGTAGTCGGTGGCGAAAGCTACAAGAGACTTTGCATTCGTGATTGATATTAACAACCTACTCTTTCCGGGACGATTAATGATAAATCTGTGTTCAAGCGATATCGTAGAAATACAAACATAGTACGAGTTGTTTTGTTACCTCTGTGATTCCTGAATCATTTTTAGCTAGCAACTGCATGAAGGGAATTGGGTCATCCACCTGGATTGCCAGTGCCTTCTCTAAATCCACCTGTCGCAAGAAACGTCTTGTTAGTATATATAACAAAGTACATTGTATTTGTGGACTTCTACCTTTCACTCAAAAGGGGTAAGCTTTGGTAACTCAAATCATCAAACCGTGGTACAATGATCATATTAACAACTGGGCACCTTTTAGCGCTGGAGAACCTTTTGGTAAGTCAACTACGCTGATATTTGGCAGCAGTTTGGAATATTTTGCGTAGAACTGTTACAAAGTACCTTGCTTGTCTCCTCCTCCTCGCCCCTCTTGTTGGAATCCAGCATGGAAGACAAGGAATTGCGGCACTCAACAGTGAAAATGTTCTTCATGAGGGGAACACGCTCTGCCACGACACGCACACACAAAGAGATGCGATCCACATCATCATCTGTAATAACCTTCAAAATAAAGCCGAATGCTGCATAAAGGATACGATATTATACGTGTATCTGTTCTGCTTAAAATCTATCTTTCATTAAACAACAACAACAACAACAACAAAACTGATGCAAGGATGAATTTCAGTTTTGTAGATTACTAGGCTGTTATGGTCCTAATTCTACTCACGGAACTGAGGGTTGGTTGGATTGCGCTGCATACATTGTTATTTCAAGTATTATGTTATATTTCTACATAAGCACCTAACATGACCTTAGCATTAATCGTGATCAACTAGACGTAAATTATTTTGAAACAGTGAAACCCCGAAGACCAAACAGAAATGCTCGAACAGGCCAAAAGATCTCAGTTAATTCCACAAATCGTTTCGTATCGCTCGATCACGAGGATAATATTTCCCACCAAATGCTGATCGCCACTCTGACAGGGCACAAAACAACTTTACAACAGTGCTGGTTGGCAACTCCCTGATGACGCAAATACAGGGATGGAAGTTAAGCAAGAAAGTGGGTCACTGTGTAGTGGTCAAATCTTTCTCTGGTGCTGCCACATAGGACATGAAGTACTATCTAAAGCCGACTCTTGAAAAGAATCCTCAACAGATCCTTCTTAACAATGGAACAAAGGATCTTGGAGACCAAAATCCAAACATGGTCGCCGATAACATTGTAGATCTAGCACAGACAACTGAAAGTGAAGCAAATGCCCGGGTTGTTTTCTTGGAGCTAGTGACTAGGTCTGATAAAGTTACAAATGGCTCAATTAAAACTGTGAACAAGAAACTGAGGAACTTTTGCAATCAGAACAACTGGCAACTTGTCCAGCATAAGAACAATACGTCTAACGACCTGAAAAAGAGTGGACTTCACTTAAATTATAAAGGTTAATAATGGTCCTTTCAACAATTTAGTGAATTGGTTAAATACTAATCAGTAACCTGTTCCTGATACATAAGTTTTGCCGTCTAGATCGCCTAATGACCACAGACTTACATCATCTAGTAAAAACGAAATCTATTCCTTTTTTCCTTCTAAACGTGGTATCAAAGTGGCAAATCTAATCATTACTAGTTTATTAAACTATATCGATGAATTGAGAGTTCTTCTTGCAAACAGCCCTGTTGACGTTTCATCAATTAACGAGACTAAGTTCAATTACTCGGTATAAGACAGCGATGTTTATATCCCTGGCAGATTCGAACTGAAAACAACCTCTGTATCCACAGTTTTCTAACTTTTACCTAAACTATCCAGAAACAAAGCAACAGATTTCTTATCTAATTGCCAGCCCTCTGTGTGCCATCTTCAATCAGTCTATCATTTCTGGAGTTTTACCAGATGAATGGAAACTATCCAAAGTTGTTCTTTGTTGAAACAATTTAAACAACTATCGTCCTATTTCGATCGTTCCAGCCGTAACTAAAGTTTTCGAGAGAATTATTTACGACCAACTCTATAGTTATCTTACTGAAAATATAATCTTATTTCGAGTTGTCAATCAGGTTTTAGATCACTTCATTCTACTGCTACCGCTCTGCTTGAAGCTACAGACAACTGAGCATACAATATTGATCAAGGCAAAGGAAACGCAGTTGTATTTTTAGATTTTAAGAAAGCTTCAGATACCGTCGATCACAATATTCTCTTATCGAAGTTGAATATCTACGGTATTGACGGTGTTTTACATAGCTGCTTTAAATCTTACTTAGACAACCGAAAGCAACGGTGTTTTGTTAATGGCTCATTCTCCGATTGTCGACCAACAACTTGCAGTGTTCCCCGGGAATCACTTGCGTGACAAAAAAGAACATAACAAAATAAATCAACTCAACCTCTGATTCTCGTGCCTGGGGGCACTTACACTGGGCCCGCTCCTATTCTTAATTTACATAAATGAATTACCTAATTGTTTACTGAATTGTCAACCACGAATGTGCCCTCATGATATGCACCTAACCTTTGCTGCTAATACAGTTTCAAACATTGACAGAAATGAAGACCTCTCAAGAATTAACAATTGGTTTACTGCAAATAATCTCACTCTTTATAATGCATCTAAAACTGAGTTTATGTTGATTGATCAAGACAAAGAATAAACATATTTGATAGTATCCTCATGTGAAATTGATGGTGCACCTGTAGGTCAAGTGGCTTTTACTAAATCCCTTGGAGGTTTACATTGATCAAAATCTATCTTGGAATGTTCATGTCGATAACTTGTGTCAAAAGATTGCTGCTGGCGTTGGTGTGTTAAAGCGTTCTACAGCTATTTTTTCCATTGGATACTCCTTAAAATATGTACTGCTCTTTAGTCCAGCCTCATTTCGATTACTGTATGTTATGTTATATTACTGAGATTTGGGGTTGCTACACTATAAGAAAACACTATCTATCAAACTTCAGAAACTCCAAAATCGCGCGGCACGTACTCTATTATTAAAGGGCAAGTTATGGCACCAATTCCGACTCTCTTATCGATAAACTTGGCTGGAGAAAACTTGACACCGAAAGACAAATTTAAAAAGCTACAATGATACATAAATCACTTAATGCATTAGCTCCTAATTATCTTCGTTCTACATTGACCGATCGTAGCAGTGTTACCACTGACTCTTCGAGAGACACCAACGGCAAACTCGCTATTCCTCTTGCCCATACAAACTTTATGAAAAATAGTTTCAGTTACTCTGGAGCTGTTCTTTGGAATAGCCTTCCTATTGAGCTGCGGCAGGCGAACTCTCTTGGGGCCTTCAGGGCTGGCTGCAAGCAATTCTTCTAAAGATCTATCTACACGGCACTTATATAAAGGAGGCTCTAAGTTTAACAAGACGCTAAGGAGCGTACACTTCGGCGTCGTGGTTGTAGAACTGATTAATTGTAAATGCGGAGGAATAGTAAGAAATGAAATATGGTAACAATAAGGTGTTAATGTCAGGATATTCTGAAAAGAGCAACATCCAAGAGGCCTACTTGCCAAAAACTAGCATTTCGGGGCAAATTGTCTCTGAGATATTAACCCAGTTATGCTCTGATGACTCCATACAAATCCTTCTAAATTTGACTTGGGTCTAAACGTTTGGACCCAAGTCAAATATGAGGTTACTAGCGGTGAATGACAAGTCTGACAAAACAAACAGTAAAAAAAGAATTCACTATTTTTTTTAAATCAGGCTTCAGAAACAGCATAGCAGTCTCATGTGCTGATTAAAGATATGCAAGGCATGGATAAGGAGTTAATTACGTTGAGCAAGGAATCGGTTAAAACTCAATGTTACGAGTTCGAATGTTTTGAGGATAATTATGCACTGACTATCAGCACGCAGGGATGTCGGATTAACACAAAGAAGTTTAATACCGAAGGAACATGGTTTTTACAGAGCTTTAAAACACAGCATCCGCCAACACAAACTGGACTCGAACTTAAATAAAACTAAACAACCTCTCCCAATAATAACAAACTCTAACTTGAACTTAAGACATCTTACGACTTCCGCCAACTTGTAAACACAGAACTTGAAAATCTACATTCGTCACACTTGAATAAACAGAGCTCTCCAGCTCGTGGGAAAAAACTTGGTTCGTCAAAAGAACTCGCTCGAAGCAGCTACCCCTCAATCATTACCAGGGCTGTCACTAAGGGCCGGGGGCCGGGGAATTTCCACGGCTACTACCCCCGGTTATTTTCTGAGAAAGAAAGGAAAGATGAGACCAAAAGAACTCACTACCTGTTCAGTTCCCCACCTACTAACTGCATATACCCGGCAACTTGAAATCTTCGTGACAGCCCTCATTACATCGTTAATTGGTAGCATAGCTTCTTGTTTGCTAGGCAACAGCGAATTTTCTATAATAATCACCTTTGTAACTGGAAGGTCGTTCACAAAGGAACCACACAAGGAAGCGTAAGCGGGCCTTACCTATTTAATATTTTTTTTAATGACCTTGAAATTTCTTATAACAATGCTCCTGCTCTTTTTGAATATGCTGATGACTCTACAATAGTGTCTCCTGTCAGTAATCAATGTTGATCCGTCTGCTTACGTTGTGGATCAATTCATGACATGGTCTAGAGAGAACAACACGTCTTGCAATCCGAAAAAATGTAAAGAACTTATCTTCCAAAGAAAATTAAAGGCAACAATTCAAAATATAACGTCGAATTTGACATTCCTCAATGCAGTAGCCTTGTTCTCCTGGGGGTTACGATCCAGAGTGATTGCAAGTTTCGGACGCGTGTTAATCTTAAATTAATTAAAGCAAACAAATGTCTTCATGTTCTAAGGACCCTTAAAGCAAAAAAAAACTATCTAACTAGTACTATCTTAGTTATTTTATAAAGCCTAGTAGTAGCTCAACCAATCAGAACGCAGCATTGATAGTAGACCGCTAGCTGGATTTTACTATATTCATAACACCATGGACACATCCCATAAGAATAAAGTGCACATTCAGCTTTTGGCCAGCTTTAGGATCCTAACTCCAACAACTCAGTGCTTTGCTAAACATGATATGCACATTAAAACGCACATACCTTCTTAGGTAAACCAGACTTTCCCAGGTGCAGAATGCTGGCCATGATTAGCATACAGTTCGCACAGATGACCTAGAATACAATAAACATATTTAATGATCGCCCTAAATATTTCGTTAACTGTAACCCACTTTTCATTTCAGTACCTGATGCAGGAAACGTAAAGAAAGTAGGTCTTGGTTGCTTTTGACCTCAACTATTCAATGACCTTTGGCTGCAATTTGCTGTTCAACAAGCAAGCCCAAAAATACATGTATGTCTTAGTAATAATATTTCCACTCATTTAATCTGTATGACCGTGAACGGGCTGTACCCCTTCGCTTTTCCCCTTGCTTCATCCCTTCCAGTGGTCACAGTTATGTTATCCACATCAGACACGTTGTGCGTATTACTTTTGACTAGTTTCAGTGGAGTACGACTGAACAGTCTTATACTACTAAGTGACTAACCTGTAAAAAGGCTCTCCATTCGAGGGAATAGTGAGCTTACACAACAGGACGGGAGAGGAAAGAAGACGGCAAACCTTGTATGACAAGCGCGACAATAATTTTGTTTGAAAAACTTTTCCGCCGAACTTCACCCTCCTTTAAACAGGTCTTTTTGTAAAAGACCAAAAAACATTAACTTAAGTGAGGCTTGCCACAAAACATATAAGTAATCGGGGCCCATCATGTTTGTCACAAACAAACGTTTCTACTTGTCCTGGACTACCGCACAGGACTTTTTTCAAACCGTGAATAGGGCATTTTCTCCTCATACATGTAGGTTTGAGAAGGGTACTCGAGTGCAGTCACTAAAATATACTATACTTATAGACGCACATTTTGTTTTTCTGTTTTCTCCTCAATGTCTATATAACGAAGTGCAAGTTTTGTTAGAGTACAAGCAATGGCAGCTCCAACGAAAAATTCGCCATCCAACAGATACTGACGCAATGGAGGCCTGTTGATATAACAGATATCATCATCATTACCACTGCTTTGCTAATATGAAATGATAATATATACCTCTTATTAGCCGAGTTTTCGGTCCGTACTGTAAATTACGGACCGAGTTTTTTTCGATCGATTTATGGCCCAAGCGCGAAGCGCGCGGGCCATAAATCGAGGAAAAAACGAGGATCCGTAATTTAAAGTACGGACCGAAAAAACGAGGCTAATAAGATATTTATTATATGGCTTCTTCCAGTTTCGGGGACCGGAAACAAGTGCAGGACGCGCGATTTGACAATCATTTCACAGGCGTCAAGAAAGAACGTTTTTATTGGCTCACGAAAACAACAGCACACAACAAAGGGTTTCCGAGAAAGGTCCCGAGAAAGTGAAAACAAATTCGCCTCGTTAAAAAAGTTTATTTGGTCAAAACTAAGAGCGCTGTAAGTTTTAGCTCTTTAATGTAACGCTGGAGTATTTTGGAAACCGGGCACTGTGTCTTTCTCGAAGTCGTTTCCATCTTTCCTCCGTTGGTTCTTGTGAAAAAAAAAAAAACACTGCAAAAGGCAAAGAAGCTTTTCAAGGTAAGTTTGTTGTCATTGTCGAAGATTCGCTCGTTAATTTTTCTGGGAAAACCTCTCGAATTTCTGCTAGGTCATTCTCGTCTTCAAGGGTGATCTGCGTTAAAATTTTCAAACACGGACCATATTTTCTTCCACGGAAAGGCTACGATTCAGTTTCTACATCAGCTTCGTTCTCGTTCAAACAAAGCTAGGTTAAAATCTTGAAAGGCAAAGTCAACACCCCAGTCCTCAGGGTTTACAGACATAGTTTAAGTATATTCGGTCAAAACTAAGAGCACTGTAAAAATTCACTCGCCAATGCGACGCTGGAGTCTGGCTCGGAGTCGCTTCTATCTTTCTTTCGTTGGTCTTTGGAAAAACACTACAAATGACAAAGAAGCTCGTCAAGATGATCGGGTGCAGGCATGTTTGTTATCATATTTGTCGAAGGAATTACTCAATTTCTCTTAGGCAAAACATCTCGAATCTCTGCCAGTCGATTTTCGTCTTCTTAACTGTGTACTACGATAAAATTTTCAAACACTGACTAGAATCCTCTTCGATAAGATTACAAGTTAGTTTCTTGATCCCCTTTGTTCACAAATAAACACACGGTTTAAAATGTTGAGGGACAAAGTCAAATTTAAGTCCTCAAGGTTGATAGACGTCTTGTAACTTAATTTCAGCCTTTTTTCCCGAGGTAAAGCGATTTAGAGCTCCGAAATGAGTATTTTCTTTGAAATTTTGGTCCGTATAGCAAGTTACGAACCGCAAATTGACCAATCGCATGGCGAAAACAGTCGCAGCCATATAATAAGTCACTGTATCCTTTTTATCAAACAATGAATAATTTACCTCTTTTCCTCATCCTTCTTTAGCAGGGAAGTGATGCCAGGAGCACTGAGTGCACTCTGAGTAGCATATGTACCATCAGCTGTCACCAGACGCTGGCCACCTGAACTCTGTTGTGGAATTTGGTCTGAACCTAAATTAATACATCAAAGCATAAATACTGCACTGTTAACCTTGATTACAGAACATAGTGTACTCTACTCAAGTTATTCATAAAAATTTAAGTACTCTGCCTCAACAAGTGCATGTGGCTACTGTGACTGTTACACAATTGGGAAGTACAAACATTTGCTGCAAAACTGATTAGTCTGAGTTAATAGACATATGGACAAAAGTTTATAAAGGGGATAATTTTATAACCAATTAAGTCTTAGGTTTTTACATTTCCTTTCGTCGCACCTACATGTATCTTGTTCGTATTCGTATCATTATGATAATTTGGTCCTCACTTTACTACATTCGCATATATTACACACTACTGATTCGGTATATTACATCTTAAACCCGTTCCCAGGAGACCACGACACTATTTCTCCTCCCTTTTATCTAGCTCTGCAAAATCTCTCTGTACAAAGTGTTCCACGTGGAAGTTCGAACTCGCGCGGGCCTTCTGAGTCCAAGCCGCGCGTGGTCATCAGTTTGATGTTGGTCCCCTAATACTTCCGTCTCGGGTAAACTGGGAGGTGGGTCATTTGTGGCGTTGTCAGGGTACACATCCGACGTGGTTCTATTCTCTGTTTGGGCGTTACCAGGGTTGTTTTGGTCCCAGCCCAACAGGTCGTACTCATCCCCCTTTGCATACTTAAGTAGTTTACAATGAGAAGAGTTCCGACCTTTGATACCTCTCCCTCTTTTAATCGTACTCATACTTCCTTTCCCCCCTATAACTGAGTGAGGTCAGGGATCATACGCTGCAGTCAACGCATCAGCTCTGTTCTGTTTCAAAAGGACGTGATCCCCAATCCTAATCAAGCATTCCCGGGCATTTCTCTTTCGTTCACGTAAGTTTTCATCTGCTTTTTCTTTGACGTGTCCCTCTGACCAATCGGGTCACTCGAAACTCCCTCTTTGGGAACCATCCTTTCGGGTAGATTCCTATGTAGCTCTCTTCCAAACCGAAAGCTTGTTTGGGGTCTGTTTTGTCACTGTCTAGCGATTTTTGCGCTCTTCTTCAGCGTTTGAATAAAACGTTCCTCAGCCCAGGCAGGAGTGACCTTTCGACGTCTCAATCCCTGTTCCCGTGCAAAATTTGAAAATTTCGATCCATTAAATGGGGGCCCATTGTCTGACTCAATCTCTTCGGGAATTACATGTCTGTTGAACACACGCGTGAAAAGCGGAATGACACTGTCCGCTGAGGTAGTTGTGACAAATTCTACAACCGGATACCGTGCATATTGGTCTCAAAACACCAGAGCCATCTCTTTAATCGGGAATGGTCCAGCAAAATCTACGCGGCCTTTCTTCCAGGGTCCACTTGGCATTTCCATCATCCGGAGGGGCTCTCTAGCGTTACATACAACGGTTGCTTGGCAACTTAAGGATTTCCCCACGCGACTCTCTACCATTGCGTCAATTCCAGAGAACCACACGTGAGCTCGAAGCAACTGCTTCGTGCGCAACACCCCTTGATGGCCTTAGTGGGCAATCTTTACCATATTTCCCCAGAGTTCCTGCGTCACAACGATTCGTTCTCCACGAACGACCAGCCCATCGACTACAGCAAGCGCATTAAAACCATTTGAGAATTTCCCTATGTCCCCGTATTTGACTTCTGTATACAACTGCTTACTTTTTGCAACTCTTGGTCAGTTTCCTTTGCGGTAACGATTTCTTCTTTGCTGATTGCCCTGGGAATGCTGTTTTCAATTACGAAATTCACGTAGTGCCTGACATCTTTTGTACTGCCCAGTTGCACTTTAGTGTTGTCCGCGCGTGGAAGATGGTGCCTCGATGTATAATCCAAAATGCTAGTCTTCCCTGGCCTGTATTCCACTCTGAACTCTTAGTCGAGCATCCACACCGACATTCTCTGTAACCTTATGAACGCAGTGTGCCTAGGGTTGTTTAGGATGGCTTGTGATCTCTGACAATCGTAAATGGTAGAGAAAAATATGAAATTTCCTACATGCGAAATCCGCAGCTAGCATCTGCAACTCGATTTGCGAATATCTACGTCCGACAGAGCCCTGCTCCCATACTACTCGCCAGTTGTCGTCATCAGGACTACGCTGGACGCCAATGTCGCCGAGATTCCAAGAGGACACCCATCCACGTGTACTTAAGGATTTTTGGGGGGGATACCTCCCAAGTTTGAGCATTAACTACGTCGCCATGAGTAAAGATATGGAAAAAAGATTACCACAACTGTATTATATAAAGATGAAAATTTCTTTTGATCTGGGTTTTATCACTTATGTCCAGAAATGCATGCAATGGCGAAAATGGCGAAAATGGCGAAACTGGCGAAAAATTGCCAGCCGCTGGCGATTTGAATTGGATGCCAAAAGTGGCCCCTTGGAGGCTGGCGATTTTGGCGAAATAGGCGATTTTGGCAAAAATCGCCAGAGGGCTGGCGATATGTGGCAAAATATTCAAATTGGATGCCAAAAGTGGCCCCTTCAAAGTAGATAACTAAAGAGGTCCTTATAACTGTGAGGCAACAGTACTAAAAAAAAGTTCAAATTACTTGCCTAATAAGAGGCCCCAATAACTGTGAGGCAACATTTATCAAATACAACTGAATCAAATATATGACAAAACAGCTTTACCTAACTGTCAAACAACATTATTTTATCAAATACAACTGAATCAAATATATCTGAAAACAGCAAATGGAAGTCGTTTCAGTTAAGCTAATATGTATTTGTGCCATGTACTTCACAGGTTAAGTAAACATTTCCTTACTTTCGATGTCGCTTGACTTACCAAAAGTGATGTGATGCGCTGAAATATCACACTGGCATCATTTGCTTTTGTATGGTTCATTCCTTTCAAAGACTTACAAGTCCACAAGTCCACTAATTACTCGAGGAGAGAACTACCAAGTCCTTGAAATCATAATAATTCCTTGCCATGGACACTTATTTCTTTTTGCTAAATGTGCACGTGCATATGAAACTTGGAAACAATGCCACTGAATAATGAGGACGCTCCCTGGTAAACACAATATCTGGGGGGAAAATTGGTTATATTTGACGCCCTATTTGAAAGCCTTCTCTGTTTTCAATGTTCTTGAAACTTGCAGGGTATATTTATTGGCAATTGATCTCGAGATTGTTAAATTTATAAAAAATTTATCGAGCGGTTTTTTGAAAAATGCGAAAATTGTAGGCATGGACCAAATTACGTGCAAAAACTGTAACAAAAGCAGCTGAATGCAAGTTAATAGAATTCTTCTTACTCGCGATCGCCCGGAGCACTTCTCCTCTTTTTTCTGTACGCAGTTTTCAATGGAATCAAACCACTATGAGATGAAGCCGCGTTTCCAAAGCTTATCATTTGCTTAAAAAATTAGCCCATTGTGTGGATAGCACGCTATTTCACTGTTTTTATGATGCTTAAAACTTCGTTTCAAAATATCTCGAAAACGCTCTCATAGAATTTGTTCAAACTTTGCCATAACTGAGGCAATTATGGCAGGTACAAACTCCCTCAAGCGATTTCTTAAAAAAACTCTTGGTACAGAGAAACACAAAGATAAATAAAAAACGTAATGGCGTCGTTACGTTGCCATGGCGACTCCGATTGCAATAAAACCCAGATCAAAAGAATTTTCATCTTTACATAATACAGTTGTGGTAATCTTTTTCCCACATGTTTACTCGTGGCGACGTAGTTAATGCTCCAACTTGGGAGGGATCCCCTCAAAAAAATCCAGTCGAGCCACCTTAATGCTCTACGTTGCGGTCGAAATAAGCTAGAACCGTGTTTGAGGCCAGAGCCTCTTTCAAGGAATCGAATACCACCAGGTGCTCTCTTTTCCACGTAAAAACATCAGTTTTCATTAGGTCCCTAAGAATGTCTGTTTGTGGGGCGTAACTTTCTATAAATCGCGCGTTGTACTGAACGGTGCACAGAAATGATTTGAGTTCCTTAGCGTTGCGCGGAGGTTCAGCCCCTTTGATAGCCTCCACTTTCACTAGATCAGGGGAGGCCATTATCCTTAGTAAAGCTGATCCTTTTCTCACTAGCCCTCTCGAACAGCTTCTCTAAACTCTGGTCGTGTTCCTATGGGCTCTTGCCGAACACAAGAATATCGTTACTTATATTGATGCATCAAGGTATGTCTGGCGTTATCTCCTTGCTCACTGTATCTTGGAAAATTTCTCCAGATGGCCTAGTGCCGAAATTTAGTCTCTTGTACCTGTAAATGGTTTGCAAACGTGGTGATGTCACGGCTGTTCTCTTTCAATTCCAACTGTTGATAGCCATGGTTCATATCCAGGTGCGAAAATACTGTGGCACCATTGTGTTCATGTATGATGTCATCAAGTCATGTGTAGGCATAACTGTGTGCTCTCGTGGGATGGCTTTATTGGCTTCCCTCATGTCGACGTTCAATCGTATTTCATTCACGAACCGTTTCGGAGTTATTACAACAGGTGACACCCAACTGGTAGGCTTCTCTACTTTGTCGATCATGTCATCGGCTATAAGGGGGTGTTTACAAGAGAAAACTCGCACCGGCGCGAGTTTCACACTAGGATGATTTTTTGATTTCGTATCGCGTTTACATGATGACTGGGTCATTTCATATCTTGTTATTTAACGGTACATTTCGTGTTGATAAAATACACATTGCGCATGCGCAACCCGACAGACCGATTTCACACCGAAATGGGTGGTTGTTTCGCGTTTACATGATACCGTTGCGAGATTTCGTACCGGAGTGAAATTCTCGCCCCGGTGCGAGAACCGGGGTGAACTCACGCCGGGGAGACTCGCGCCGGCATAACATTTTGTGGTGGTATCATGTAAACAAATATAGAGCCATGAGAGGGAACCGCAGTGAACTCGCTCCGGGGCGAAAGTCGCCCCGGTGTCATGTTAACACCCCCTAAGTTTCTCCAACTACGCCTCAGCTTTAGGCCTTACACTAAAAGGTATTCTTCTGTGAGGTTGTGGCACAGGCCGTATCGCAGGATCGACGTGAAAATCCACTCGCACCCCTTTCATCTTTCCAATACCCTTAAACAGGTCAGCGTACTGTCCCAATAGTCTGCTCGTAGCCGATTGAACCGCATTCGAAACCATCATCTCTTTGGCGGTCTGGAATCCCATCCTTGTCGCCAATGTAGGGTCTTAGGTTTTTACATTTCCCTCAGTCGCACCTACATGTATCTTGTTCGTATTCATATCATTATGATAATTTGGTCCTGACTTTACTACATTCGCATATATTACACACTACTGATTCGCATATATTACATCTTAAACCCGTTCCCAGGAGACCACGACACTACACACAGCAGTTATATCCAACTGGTAGATGTTACATTTGGATACCTTCAGGAATATCCCCAGCAGCTCTTCTCATTTCATCATCAACAATAGGAACCTGCAGGAAGGGACAAGTTAATTGTTGTCAACTTCTAACAGTGCCATAGGATAAACAAAATTGATCCAGTTGTCTGAAATTTTCACAACAAATCTCACGTCTCCAAGTCCCTTCTTGATCTCTTCCATGACATCCAAAATGTCTTGCTTGTTGTTTGCATATTCACCCATGATCCACAAAGCATGGCGGTGAATCCTAGATTGACACAAAATCTTGTGAGGAACTGGTGACACACTGGGGTCACAGTTTTGTATCAGTACACAATAGTAAGTACATTAATTGTGCTATAAAAAATCTACCTCGACTTGGAAGATCACCCTATCCCCATGCCCCAACCCTTGCATGATCGTCTGAAATCCATAATAAATTGCAGGTTTTATCGGCGTATGCGGTGCTTCAGCTCAAGAAACAATTGATTTAAGAATGTCATAAAAACAAAAAAGGCACAGATGATCAGTCTTACAGAAAACTTAAATCTATCTTCTAGCTATACACAATGCAACAGCAACCAAAAATTGGAAAAACAAACTGGCATCCTAGTCTTCAAGCGTGACTGTGACTATAAAACTGTTCCTCAATACTTACTTAACGGTCTTAATGGTGTGAAAATTCTCCAACAACTTTTCCATGATTACAGGCTTGAGCTGTTCAAAGCGCTGCACTGCCTCACGCACAAACAACAAAACATCAAATGCTGCTTGTTCATTGGTATCTCCCAAGAACTCCATTAGCTACAAACATAAAAGAAACAAATTTAGTAAGGGTGAAGTGTTAAAAAAACAAACATAATTTTACAATATCAGAAATGCGCTCATAGCCAGATCAAAGGATTTCAGGAAGTCAAGTAAAGTTCTACTCATTTTCTTAAAATCAGTTGCCAGATTTTAACAACAACGAAAAGGATCACCCAGTACATGGTTGAAAACAAAAATGATGGAACAACACGAAAGAACTCACTCACCAGAGGCACGATAGATGTAGCAACATCAGGAAACTTCACACTGCAGGTGTGAAGTGTACGAACAAGCATCTGCAAAAAAGTAATGATAATAATTTTTCAATTTTTAATTTTAACGTATAGGCCCACCCTTGGCGATAAACGGGATGAAAAAACATTTTTCATTATATAATTTATAAAGAAAATCTAAAAAATCTCGAAGATCGATAACCTTATAAGCCCTGAGCAGGCTTATACATCTTTGCAAGGGGTTTTAGGAGGGCTTATAAACACAGGCTTAAATCCGAGCCTGGCTGGGTTTATAGAAACAAGCCATTAGCCAAGCCATTAATTTACTAGTTTTTATTTAAGCTTCACAGCTAGAAGGGAGCGGGGGACTTATAATGGATGTTTTTTCCAACAGGTGGATGTGCCTATAATTGGGGGGTGGAACTTATTCAGAATTTAAGAACCAAGATGATATTTGCCTTTGCTTAAAATGAACAAAAACTGTGACATTAAACATGAAAACTTAAATTATTAAGTTGCCTATTTTGGAAGGAGACACTAATCTTAGCAAAGGGAGGGGGAGGGGGGTTGCTAATTTGAGCATGTGCGGTAAATTCAATTTCATCGCTTTAGAAATGTAATGACAGCTAGTTGGAAGCAGATAATAATTTGTATTGGGCAGCATCACGAAGCCAATCACAGGCCAGTAGACTTGGACCACAACAAAAATATTAACGTGCATGTTGCTTACTTTAGGAGTGTTACTTATTCAAGTTAAAACATGTATAGTAATGATCAGCAGTCACCTGTCGATATCCACCAATATCCTCGTGCTCACTCTCATTATGGGTTTTAGTTACCTCCTTCTTTAATACAGCAACAACCTAAGGAAAAAGATAAAAAAAAAATAATGAAGTACATTTGCCTTCAAGAACCCAATAACATACAGGAAGGTAGCTACAGCTGTAGCAATCAATAGACAGTTACCACTCCTCTTCAAATCAGTAAAGAACATGCACTTCTTTTAATATAATATTGCTGATAAACTACACCTACACTGAAGGAAAATTACAGTTTGGTATAAAGTAATCAAAATTCGTCCCCATTACTTTTGCAGAGGAGTGACTTGAGTAAATCAGCTCTACAGTCATGTACCTCATGGATGTTCCGAGAAGTGACCAGATCAAGCACCAATTGTAAAGTCTTCTTTCGCACTTCAAGATCAGGAGATGACAGAACACGAAGGATGTCCATCACTAGTTCCTGTAGGACAAAAAAAGTATACAATGTACACACACTAGTACAATTTATTACTGTAAGATAATTCTGTAGTGCAATGCACTACATTGCCATTGTAACTACAATGTCAATAAAACAAGGATCATAACAAATTTTCATCTTTATAGTATTATAATATGGCTGTGAAAACTTTTTTCCAATATCAAAGTTAATGCCGATGCAGTAATACTCAAACTTGGGAGGTACATGTACACTCCCTAAAAAATCCAGTTGAGCCACCGAAAAGAAATTGGGAACCAGCCTAAGTTAAAAACATTCACACTTGAATTCAATTCTGACTTGTAGCAAATACCCGTGTTATAATTGACCATGAAAACAAGGAACCTGTTTAAGAGAGGCCTCCAGACTAAATATATTTTTTTCACTAGCTACAGTCAAAAAATAAACACAAGTTAAAAATGAACTTAATTACAGTTGTATGAACAGACATGCCACTGCTGGCTCATAGGGATGTCACCTCAGCACTTCCTAATGCATTATAAACAGAACACAAACTCTATCACAAACTCCACTACAGAATACACATACAGTACAGTGGTATACCAGCCAGGTTATACAATTAGTACACTAATGATGCATACACAGCTTATTGTTGCTGCCCCTGCAGGGTTCAGGCCTCCAACCCAAGGAGGCACCCTAAACTTTCCCTGCATAGAGAAGTATCATTTTTTCTGTTGTAAGGATGATAATAATGCAAAATCTTCTTGATTTGAAGAAACTAGGTATGCAACAAGGTGGTCACGGTAAACATTTCAAGACGCAAACAAGGCGGTCTTGTTTAATTCTGGTTCAGCAAGTACGCAAGGTGGTCTTATAAATTCTGGAAACACTCCATTGACCAGTTAGCATTAAATTCCATCCTCCAGCACCACCTTCCCCTCTTAGCTGCACTTACACGAAATTTCTAAAGTCTCTTCATATTTCTACTCTTTTAATCTTTTTCTACATCTAAGTCCCTTCAATTATTTTTAGAAAAAAAAAGGAGATTGAATGTGGCCTAAGTGGGATTCAAACTCGTGGTCCTTGAAACCGAAATCCATTGCCTATACCACTATACCACAGTGGATTTGACTGCAAGGTACGTTGTCAATTTACATAATTAAATACATATATTACCCTTATCACTGCACTATGTTCAGCGCTTAACCCTAATCACTATGAGGTTTTCCCCGAGGTTTTAAATTGTCATAACCTAAGAGCATAGAAATAAAGAGATTATGTCAGAACACTTATTTCAAAATAAACGTCATACATGTATCTAAGGTGGGAGCAGATGTAGTGAGAACTATAGCTAGTGTAGTGAACTTACTCTGAGAACCTTCTCATGAGATGGACTGTCTTTCAGGGCTATCAGCCTGTCTAATACAATCAGCTTCACATTGTTGTCACTCTCCTTTACAATCAACTCAATGTAGCAGGATGCTGCAGACTACAGGACAGAGAAACAAGAATCAAGCTAAATAACTTAAAGCAAAAAAATGCTCGTACATTCAATAACAAAGACGAAAATAATGACAAAATCACTTTCACCTGTTTGCAGTTTGACCTCCCAACCACTATAAAACCTGGTTGCTACACAGTATATCTTCTTTCAAAAAAGTAATGTCGATTATTTCCTTCATGAATTTTCTTGATTTTTTCAGTCCATAGAGAAAATATCTTACTACTAACTAGTAATATGATACAAACGTCAATGGTATTGTTAAGAAAGAGTAAACTCATAGTACTCAGGCTACTACAGCTGTAAGTACTGGTATGTATTTTAAAAGGAAAACATTCTGTCGTTCCTTGCTTGCAAAAGTGCGACGACTGAGATCAGAGAATAAAATGAAGTGTGAATGCGCATGGGCAGTGAGGACAAATCAACAGGAAAATCAGAGCTGGCCCAAATTTTTTGACCAGGTAGGTTTGTTATCTTTTGAAGAGTACCAAACAAGATCATTTTCTTCAATGATTAATGTTGCCCATGGTTTGAGAACAAACATGCTTTGAATTAATTTTCAGTGGAGAAGGCTCTCTAATAATAGAAGTCTACATGTACATACATTAAAGTATTAGATCTGCTACAGACCTGTTCTTTTTAAAAAATTATTTCTTGAATAATAAAGAATTTCCCAAAATAAACATTACACAAGTCTATCAAGTGAGACCTGAACTTTCAGAAAACTGATATCAGGTGTCTATTTTCACACCCAAGGTGTGATTTCTGATTTCACAGCGCAGGCTAAAAAAATCAAGAATTGCACATTTCTGACTTTCCCTTGATAACTACCGGTAGGTAAAAAAATAAATTGGAACTGACTTAGACTTACACTGTTAATTTACCTTTGAATTCTTGACATTGTTTGTCAATTTGTCCTTGAGATATAGCGGTGGAATTTTTTTGTAATGCCTTGTACATGTAACTTCAGGCAGCCACCGAAAATTCCAAAATGTTCAGCCCTTATTGCTGGGAATTTAAGACATTTTCCCTTAACAATAATATGCGAATAAACCTGGCAAGTTTTAGCACAGTATTAAAAATCCTCACCTTTTTACATGACTTTGTTTTCAGCGTGGTCTAACACAGCCACAAAATCACACTTAATTAAGACATCCTAAATTTTCATTGCGCTACACTGTTTTCTTTGTCCCCATCTTGAATTCTTACGAGTAAACAGCTGGTCTTAATTAATGTTTGTTTCAACACTGACCTGATTGTCACACAAAATGTGGCGAGAAAAATGTGAAAATGTTCATTTGAACTGGTTTTGTTACATGCTCTCAATATGGTGTCATGAGCAGTATTGAAGCCTAAGCAACACAGTAATTTGCATAGTACCTCATTTAACATTCACATCGCATTTCAGCCCTGTGATTACAATTATATTCGAAAACAGTGCATGATCGATTTTTGACTTCATAGCAGTTCTAATACCTTAAGGTGGTGAACATAACCCTGAAAAGGTCTGCAAAGGCATAAATGGCTTGTCACTATCAACACACCAAGGCTCGACGTTGCGACCCGTGGGGTCACCAATGCGACCAGCTTTTACTCAGTGTACTCTAAAATTACCTTGACTGCTGTGGGTGCAGATGACAGAGTAACCAATGTACCGGCAGCTTCATAACGAACAGCAGGTGATGAAGAGTTCAACAGGTTGTATATGCATCGGATGAAACGTGATCTCTCAGCTGGGTTAGCATGGCACACCTACCAAAATACAAGAAAAAACAAAAACAACAGTGTCATAACCACATAACTTACAGCCTTATGTACCTTTGACAGTTTGTGCAAAGAAAAAGCATTTAACAGCCACAGGTACTAAGAAAATAAATAATATTTCTTTAAAATCTCATTATTTGCCATTTTTATTTCCTTATTATAGGAAATTACCGCTCCATGAAATTAAGGTATAATTGGAAATTAACGCTACTTAAATTAACCCACATTAAATTTTAATGGGAAACGACTTTTGAATAACGAAAATCAACGCGAAAGAGGAGGTAGAATTTCATAATAAAGGAAATTAATGCGATTGAGACACAGTTGGACAAATTTATTTCAACACTGGATGCAAAAAAATCCTAAACTGAACAAAACTGAGCTGACATCACTTCTGACAGCGACAACGATGAAGATAAACTCGAAATATTGTAAACCTTCGCCTTAGCTTTCGTGAAAGATGAAATTAACCCATTCGCCCCTGAACCGCCCGTAACCGCCCGTGCGGATCCAGGTCCTTTCTACCCTTTGTGACATCATCAGTTTTAAAGGTCAAGGACAACTTTCTTCGCTAACTTGTGCAGAGTGAAGAGATCTTTCAAACCATACCAGAATGAGCACAATTCAGTCAAGGACACCGGAGAAAGAAGCAAAAAACCACGTGACAAGGACCTGAAAATCTCCATGAAAATCTTGTTCCATTACCCACCTACCAGAAGGCCGCCAAGTGTACGACCTGTAAACCGGTTTGTGGTAAGTTGTAGCTCTTTATAGCACGACAGTGACCAGAAAACCACTCGACTAGCTTCAAAACGCGTTTTTCGGCAAAATCTCCAGGAGCGAATGGGTTAAAATAAAGGGTAAATGGAAAGAAAGAAAGCTTGTAGTTAATGTTGTTTAGGCATCAAGAATGTCTGGACAGGTTCCAAAATTGGGGTTAAAATACTCTAAATTAAGAGCACAAAAATTAACGCTGCACTTAATTAACATTGCGGAAATTAATGCTCAAAAAAATTTACCCGACTTAAATTAATGCAAATTTTAACAATTCGTGTTAATTTCATGGAGCATTAATTTCCTATAATAAGGTAATAAGGTTCATCTCTTAACCATGGCATGCCAAGATAAACATTAATCCTGTACATACATGTAAAGTACATTTTCTTGAGTTCTTCATTAATCTGCACATAATTTATTCTTTTACTTCAATGTTAAGACTAGTACAACATCCAAACTCATACACTACCTGTATTTATTATATAGATACTGATGAAATACAAGGATTTTTCCTTTTACTAAAAAATCATGTCTTCATCACATACAGTGAAGATACTATTTTTATCTTTCATGTGAGGATATTGGTGTCGCCATGGTTACTAACATTAATTTTGACTTTTGGAACAGAAAATATAAGTATTATTATCTTTATTTCTCCTTTATAACTTTATATCCAAGTTTCATAACATTTTGCGACAGGCATTTTGTGATAGGTGACCACTTTAATTGCACTACTTTGCTGTTTCGAGAATGAATAAAAAAAAGTTGTGTATTATGTAGGAATTTCATCAGTATCTATAAAATAAACTGAACATTACATGGCCGCTTGGGGATACGAATTTTATCTTCTCGTGCTGAAAGTATCTCTCACGAGTGAGCTCACTCGTGAGAGATACAATTTGTATCCCCGCGCGGCCATGTAATATCCTCTATATATCCTTTTTGTCAGCCCAAGAGAAATTGAAAACAATGTTTCCACAAAATGTTTGGAGGGAAAACAAAAGGAAGTTTAAGCAAAGACATTAATTTTGAGTGACGCACTACTTTTTGCATTCTTTTGCAGTGGTTTTGTCCACATTTTCAAGCAAATCGTTTCTATAAGCGTAAAGGAACCTAGCAATACAAATTTGGTAGCATCAAGGTATATGTTGTGGTTCAATTTTATCCTTGGTTTAAATTTTATTTTCTTTTGTTTCAAACTCATTATCATACATTACCATACCCAAAAATAAAACAAAATAAAATTTAAACCAAGGATAAAATTGAACACAACATACATATACATGTATTTAAAAAGAAAACGCCTCACTTTAGTTTGATGTGCATCGCTCAAAAACATCTTTGCTTAACCCATTTGCCCTTGAGCCACCTGTAACCGCCCGCGCAAATCCATGTCCCTTCTACCGCTTGTGACATCATCAGTTTTAATGGTCAAGGACAACTCTGTCCGCTAACTTGTGCAGAGTGAAGAGATCTTTCAAACCATAACAGAATGAGCACAATTCAGTCAAGGACACCAGAGAAAAACACCAAAAAGAATGTAACATCGACCTGAAAATTTCCATGAAAATCTTGTTCCACTACCCATCTACCTTTTCTCTCATCTAATTCTAAGATCCTAAAAGCTTTCCTAACAACTTTTCCCATCAAAATGAAGCCTACTAAATGCCCAGCAAAGGAAAAAAATGGCGCGAGAAAAGCAAAAAAAGAGGGAAAGAGAAAAAGCGAAAAGTAAAAGTCAAGACTGCTGTATTACTTTTAAAGCCAAATTTTGCTTTCTGTGTACGCCTGAACTTTGCAAGCTAATATTTTGCACATGAATCACAAGGCCACAAAGTGTACTACCTGCAAATGGCTTTATGCAAGCCCTAAGATTTTAATTCCCACAGATAATAATTTTTTGTTTCTGTGCCCAAAGATTAGGGGAAACCATCTGTAACAATTTTCTAGTTCTGTGAAAATTGATGGGAACCCACTTTTGTTTCTTTTAATGTACAGAAACATGTTGTGAAACATCAGTATGTACTATAATTTACACAAAAAAGGGGAAGGTCAATTTAACGTGATTCCCTGGTTTTGCACTGCGCATCTCTAACTGCCCATAACAAGATGGCCGCCGTAAATAAGAGTATGAGAAGTAACATTTATTAAAATGAAGTTGACTGAAGGGAAACGCTATTGGAAGTTTTGCTTGCAGTTGTTTCCTGCTGAGGTGAGACTCAATGTGCTGGGAATCTGCATAACGTAAGCAGTACGCGTGTTGCTGAGTTCGACTTCCTCACGGAGAACTTCAATAGTGGATGTTTAACTTGTGCTTACTCACTTTGACTTTCATTTAAACGCTTTCCTTATCATATTGTGTCCTAAATGTGATATCTAGCTATAAATTCTGTAAAAACGGAGTTTTTAATACTTTCTTCCCCCTTTCACGTACATTCTATTTCGAAACTTGCTCCGGTCCTCTCTCAAAAATCGGAGAAAATGCATTTGGTGCGCACTTTCTACAGCTGTACCGCAAAAATGAGTATGGTGACCCCCATTTTTTATTTCATGATTTTAATAAAGACAGTGCTTCCTTTCGATGAGAAAAAAATTGGACCAAATCTATGTTTAGCTTTTTGGCAATTTTACTAAATTGTAAGGATTGAGCTATCACGGGTCGAATAGCGCGTGTCCAATTTAATTCTACTTTGGAACATAAAGTAAAAACAAGGGCATTAAAAGGCATTTTTCTTGTACGTAAGTGGATAAATAATACATTAAAGTCAAATTCTGTGCGATACTGCATGCGTCGTTGAAAAAATGTCTCCTTTTTGTCTAGTTTTGGGCTGTGCACGGTTTTTGTCAAAAGGTCCTAAATAGCCGTATTTGTCAGAATTGTGACGTCAAAACAAACACGGTGACCTCCACTTTTTATTACTTTTTTATCATCTTCTTGACTTGTTACATCAGTGTACCAAATCTCATCTACAATCTGTGTTAGGTTCTTTTACTAAGGAATCACCTTAAGTGTTAAATGTGTGTGCATTTAAGTGTCTAAAACTCCAGACTCCCCTTCGATCCAACTGAAGAGGTACAGTGCTGTATACTCACTTGAAATGTTCACCACAAATCTTGTATTTTCAAAAAGAGATTTGGGCCTCATTATCAGCTTCAACTGTGAAATCATCACTTAAAGATCACCTTCAATTAAATGTTTTGAAACTTTTCCCAGCAAACATTTTTTTTCTTGGCACTGCAAGCCATAACAATTGCTGTTAATAACAGTAAAATATCTTTCATGCATGAGTCATCAGTAACGTGCAAAGCACTTTAGAAACGATTCAAGATGGCAAACGAATGGTGATGTTTTAATTTCATTTGCAAGCTGAGTCATAACCAAAGAATATTGCTCTACTAGTTAAGAATCTGAGTGGGAAAATACTATAACTATATATATGAGCCTGAATATATCAGGATACGTCACTGGGAAACTATTTTTTGTTTCCGTTATTTTAAGATCACAGTATAGCATGACGGTGACCCGAAAACCGCTCAACCAGCTTGAAGACGCATTTTTCAGCAAAATTTCCAAGGACAAATAGGACAAGCTCCCTAATGACTATTATCTACAGGCTCCATTGGTATTTTTTTTAATAATGCCTATTTCTACTGATTTTATTGACAATTTTCAAAAAACAACAATAAACTGTACCTAAAAAGTTTGGTAAGACAGATGTCACTTCCCAGTTCTAAAGTATGCACAACATAGATTTTACATTTCCCAGCAAATAAAATAAGTAATGAAATGAGAAAAACACATTTTCAATGGCTTCATGAATACATTTGGTATATTATTCATCACCACATCTATGCAACATTTCTAAGCCAGTAACATAAAGTGGGCAAGCTGGTGACCAAGAATGAAAAGTAAGTTGCCAATGAATAAAATCCAGTGGCATTGGTGACCCCACAGGTTGTAACATCAAACCCTGAAACAACACCACAACGACTTTAAATTAAAGTAATAAAGCAAAAAGTTAAAAAAGAAAAAGGAAATACCTTGTAGATAAGTTCAACAATAACCAACTGTAGTATATCACCAAAAGTGTTGACTTGGTCAATACATGTACTTAGGTACTCCAGTGCTCGTTCCTATGGAGTAACCATAACCAGTATCACTGTAACTGGCCTGACAGTACATTGTAATACTGTTTAATTCAAGTTAAATATCTTATTCCTTACTAAGGGCAAGTGAAGTTTTCCATTACGGGTGACCCTAAAACACAGAATGACAAAATGACGTAATGGCGGAAGATGACAAACAACATAGAGCAAAAAAATCATTAATAGCATTCATAAAAAGTAGCTTATAAAATAGATGGTGTAGTAACTGGAAAATCACACAAAAATCACATTAGGAGGAACACTTAAAAAATATTAGTGTTTCATCTAAAAAAATTACTGTTTGAAGGGTATGGTCGCCAGTTGCGGTCAAACGCAAACAAAAGTACTGAACTGTTTAAAGTTTGGTGTTGACTAAGCATTTTGGAATTTTACTAAAAAAAAGTTCTAACTGTTGAAATTGACAAGATATGAACTTGTTGGTGCCACTGTCAGAGTAATTTTGTTGGTTTGACACCCATTTGATCTGAACGGAATTCTAAAAGAATTGAAAACATATTTACCTTCAACAACTATTACTTCCCGTTGATAGAAAGTCATATCACCGGTCAACAGACCCCATTCAGTATCGTCTGGTAATAATTGACCTTCACGACTGTCACGTGCATTAAGTCGAATACAATATTATTTATGACACAGGAACCTAAATATTGAGCCTTAAAAAGGAACCTGTTGCATTTTTTACAAAACAAAAAACCAAACAACAAAATGTGGTTTAAGTAAAATCACTCCCTAGGCATGTATGTGACAGAAAGCAATTTACTCCCTTACACAGGAACAGGACAGGAACTCACAAATGACAATGTTTAACCTGTTTTAATGAACAATTTTTTTATCTTGCCATTTATATAATTTTTTTTTCATTTTACTCGAGATTTTATATTTTGTCTTTTAGGATTTGGGGCGGTTTTCTGCCATTCCATGTTTTTTTAGGGTCACCCCACATTAATATTATTTTATACTATTCACAGCCCTTTGGCAGCAACAAAATTTAAGCATAGTTTTGCAGAAAACTTATATGCGTGGAGAACTGGACTTTTGGGAAAAGGTGTGGCCCCTATGCAGCTCTTTACCACGGTGCATTTAACAAAAAACCATCTACATGTACCTGGTCAACATGGATGAGCATCATAAAAGCGTTGCGTTTACATGAGGCATCCTGTTCCTGCTCAAGAAAGGTATGAACCAACTCTGGGGCATCAGGGATCAGGAAATCAAAGTTTCTAAGAACAAAACAAGTAAAAATGTCTCTTCAAGTAATGGTGTGAAAAAAAAAATGTCTACAAGGCATGTCTTTGTTAGCACAGAAACTCTTCTCTTCTTGATTAAAGTTTATGAATTGAAGATAAATATACAGAACAGGCAAGAACCACATGTAAATGAGCCACGCATACTCAAGTGCACAGCTGCTCAGACGAAAGTTTGCCTCAGCATTGACAGTGTCTACGTCGGGTAAGATGCTTCAGGCAAGGAAAGATTTTCTTTGTGGGGCAATGTTGCAAAACAATTCTGTCAGACACAATAAAATTTGGCAACGTGAGTTTCAGTTGTTAAATCCCTCAGCACCACACTTGACTGTATGAATTTTTTTCCTAGGTTCATATGACCTGAAATACGTCTGCCGTCGCACGCTATGCGCGTGTATAAATAAATGAAAATTCAAAGAAATTACATCATTCCCAGAAATCAATGAAGTGATCTACACAGAACGTCATTTCATTGCTGAAGATAAAACTCATCACAAGACCCATTTGCATACAACGAAAGTTTACAACACCTGACCATCGCAATTTTGCTCATTAAAATCCAAATTTTTTTTTTACCACTCAGCGGTGTTCACCTGTTCCAAAGTAATCAACGCTTTGAAGCAATAGAATTCATGGACCGACACATTTCAGAAAATCTCTAAATTTAATCTTTCCTAAGCTTTCTTTGCAAAACATGTGTGGCTTCAATCAGGCAATGATTCTCATTCCTAGTTTTCATTGTCTCCAATAGGAATGCCTGCCACAATGACTCCCCTTTTGTGTCCTAAATATGAAGAAAAACGTGCCGCAGATTATGAATCTCCCTGCTTATGCAAGCGAGACTAATTAAAAAGCTTCACCTCTATTTTCTTCGCAGCAAGTTTTCATAGATTCTCTACATTTAAGGCAACTCTTGAATTGCATTTTCACAGCTTCCCTTGGCCCCAAAATATGATGTTTGATGATATGATGCTTGTAGGCCATTCACTGACACATAGTATCTCTAAACAAGAGATATATGCAGCTCAAACATACTAATATTCTAAAAAAAATTGCTAGTAAAATGAAACACCTGAAAAGGCAGTCCTGTTTTCCTGGTCAGAACATTCTACATGGAAATTTGTATTCCACTTCCTGAAACCCAACTTTGATATACAGCTGTACCAGATTCAGACTTTTGTGGCTTCTTTTCAGTAAATGCAACTGATCGGCCGTGCAAATGGCAAATAATGTGACTGCCAATTGGAATTTGCCAGTCCTGCATTTTGTTTACTTTATCAAAAGTGTAGAAAAACTGGTTTGCCCAGGACCCAAATAGTAACCAACCTACAGGTCCTGTTAACCCATATAACAAAATTTATGTACAATGTACACAGTCAATACATAAAATTGCTCACCTGTAGATAGTGTAAATGGCCATGACAGCATTACGTCGGACATAGGAGTGGCGATGCTCCAAACAATTTCTGATGGCTGGCATTAAAGGCTCCAACAACTCGGCTTCCTTTCCACATAAAATTTACACAGAGAACAGTTCAGTACAGTTTTAGAAGAATAACTAAAACAATAGTGCTACAGTGGAATGCCTATTTTTCCAACCAACAAAGGACATGGAAATTGGTTCCAAAAATCAGAAGCTAAAACAATTGAGGATGGCATTGAATCACACCTTTTTTTCCATGGTATTTTTATATTTTATATAATAACCAAAAAGGCCACAGACAACAAAGGTATACATGTAGCACCCTTAAATATCAATGTATGTATATGTTGTGGTTCAAATTTATTCTCAGTTTAAATTTTATCTTCCTTTGTTTTAGGGTATGGTAATGCATGATAATGAGTTTGAAACAATGGGAAATAAAAATTAAACCAAGGATAAAATTGAGCCACAACATATATCTGTACCATCTTACGTACATGTAAAAACAAAAAGTATATGCACAGTAAAAATTTAATCCAACTAAGCAAAGAAATATATACAGAACATGCATGTAGCAATTTTGCAGGGACTTCAGACTACAAGTCATTTCCTTCCATTTACTGTAACAGAAGCGCACTGTGAAAAACGAATGCAGTAGTAGTTCCCCGTGTGGGGGGAGGGAGGGAGGGGGGACTCTCTTATTTGGCCTAGACAGGTACATGTATGTGAAGCGAGAACGAAGACAAAAAGTAGATCAAAATAGTAACTAACGCTATTTGTAACAATCTGTCATGTATAGTATGATAAGTAGCTTAACATAGACCATTGTACTTTAAAATAATTTTGAAAACAGTCAATGTGCACAGGGTGCAAAGAAAGTCAGTTTTACAGCTTGCCATTTGGGCAAGCTGTAGTTAGCATGTACTAGCACAAAAGTCATCTTAACTGGCCTGGTGATGATTTTGATTTTTTTTTTATTTTGATGATTTTTTCCTTAAAAAATTTCACTTGCCAGGTAGGGCAATAAGTCGTAAGTCTAACATATAGCATGGATAAAATATAGATTAATCAACAATATAGCATAAAATTTTTGGCGATCAGAGTAAATGTCACATGGTTATAATGCCATGCCTCTTTGGGGTCTGTTGCTGGTATTTCGTGAAAATCTCTCGGCTACATATGGTGCGTATTAGTGACTAAAGTTGAACAGAGTTTCACCAAAATCGCAAAGACCCAATTCCAGAAATTCAGCACTTTCCAAATTTAGGTCCTAATTTATGTGAAAATGATAAGCAAACTTTACACAATTATATAACCAAACTATGAGATTTATCCCTCTATTTTGGGGATCTTTATAACAGATGGGTCCTTGCAAGTCAGCAAAAAACTTTAGGACCTTGTAAATGCACGCGATTTCAAGCAATGCAAACATAATTATAGGAAATATAGTTTTAGCTATTTGTTGACGTTTGTCGGCGTTTAAGAGTCCTTCTCCCGAAAAAAGCATTTTCTTAAAGATTCGTAGTTTTTTTTCCATCAACATTTTCAGGGCCACAATTGATTAGCTAACCACATGGACTCTAAATTCCATGGTCATTGAAAAACTGTGACATCATCTTCTATAAGCCCAACTTGAGTAAACATTGAAGATTTTTAGCGTTTTGGCTGAGTTTGTGCTTTGGGAGTTTTCTATTGTTTCTAGTCTGTCATGATACAGCATTCTTGTTGAGCACACGTGCAATGACCACCCTTGGCTGACTTCCGAAACTTGTCAGTGTTTACTGGCAGGTAGAAAATTATTTTCATGCTGAATTTGTAACAAAAGTCGTAAAAATCACTTGACAAAATCACAAAGTGACATTTTCAATTATCCAACTGATATGGCAAATACTAAAACAACTATCACACTCGGGGTCGGTGAACAGCGCTAGATATATGCCTTGACGCTTTGCATCTCCGTGTATATATCCACCACTATTCACCTCCCCTAGGCCTTCGAGGGATATTTGTATACTACTTCCTTTGCATGCTGAAACCCTTTTGAGAATATAAAGTGTAAATTTTTGACAGGACGCAGGAATCAGGGGCACCCAACGAGAATATAGTTCAAAACCACATAAACAAAGCATTGTTGAACGTACTTTAGTATTTAAACGTTAGATAAAGGCTTATTTTTATCCCCTAAAAATTTTTCATCTGTTCGGATTTCCTAGCTGAAAGTATAGTGATCCGAAAATTATAGGGATCAAAATATACCTTTTCGAAAATTTCAGCCAGAAAAAAGGCTCCCGAAAATTCTAGGTGACCTTTTTAGGGTAAAAATCCGTTAAAAATGGGCAATTATACGATTGTTTTGAAGTTCGAAAATCCTAGGAGAGGCAGGCAAGCAAGAAATTTTTCAGAAAATGATCCGAAAATTCTAGACCTCAAATCGTCTTCCGAACAGATAATTTTCCGAAAATTGTCGTTGGGTGCCCCTGAGGAATTTGCCTGAAATATCACAAAAAATCAGGGGTTTAAAAAAATCATAAACATCAGGATTCCACTGTATAAGGAAAACAAAAAACCAACTGAACCTCAGCTGAAACAATACTAAGAAAATACCTTGAGCTTGCAAAGAAATCGTAAAGTTGATCCCCTTATATATTCATTAGGATGCTGAAGGTCCTAACAAGTTAAAAACACCAAGCACAGTATCATCAATAAAAAAAGTAGTAATGTATTATCTTGGCATCTAAATAGTAGGCATACAAGGGGAATGCAAACATCTGCATAATCATTAATGAAGATGACACTCTTGAGGATGATGAGTTATAAAGATACATACAAGTACCGATACATGTTAGTGTGTGTTAACTATAAGGGACCATGATACATGTATGCGTGATTACAACTGCTGTTAATATCAACCAAACATTCTATTAAAGATTTAGCTCAAACAAAGTTACACTTCCTTGAAAGGAAAACTTAATAAGCACTCCCAATGATTAAATGTCCTCATTCCAAATACTGCTGTCCCCACCTGTTAGCTGTTTTTTAAATATGGCTGTCTAGGAACTTATTCAAAGAAATAATAATTATAATTATACATCAAACTTTGTTTTCTTAGAAAAAATGGTAATGCTGTGGTACAGTGTACTGCAAAAAGTAATTATTTACTGAAACAATTCTAAATCTTTTCAAGTGTTTTTATTTTTGCACCATTATAGTTTCACTAACAACACAAGGTAATCAATAATGGACAGCCACAGGTAAAAATAACCCTTTCAAAATGGAAACGAGTAGACCGGGTGGCTCATTTGCATGGAGACCCTAGAGCCCTTCAATTTGCAAGCGATGCAGTCAGAAATTTTGTTAGCAGCAGAATTATGATCAGCTTCATACTTTGAGGAATTCCAAACTTAACAGAGACCTTCAATTAAATCTCTTTACCTTTCTGTAAGCATCACAAACAAGAATCATCTCTTGCAGCAGTTTACCATCTTGCCCAGTCTTGGGGACAATCTCCCAAAATATCAACAGCAGCTTCTTGATGGTATGGTCATCAAGAGGCATGAGAAACTTGATGATTACCATCAGCAATGATGGCATTTTCTCTCCATTTAAAATCTGCTGAATAACTTTCTTTAGGGCCTCAGTTTTGACCCTTAGGTCACCCTTTTCTAAACAAACAGAAAACAAACCGATGGTTATAACTGAGTCAGTAAGATAAACAAAAACCGTACATTATAGAAAGGAGAAGTGTGAAGTCATGTTACCACGGTAATAAAATTTCTGGATCACAACAATGGGGAGCTTAAGCAACAACGACGGCGATGGCAACAAGAATGGCAAAAAAATAATAGGTTTAGATTGGCAAAACAGAATGCTTTTTGTACATTTCTTAGCCATCATTGCACGACTGCGACATGAAACTTCTAATATCACACAACCACTTTATGGAGTAGATGAACACAACACAAAATTTTCCTTTCCTTTTTCTAAACTTAGATATGGTCCTTTCGGATTCAACCCTAGAAAATTTGCCAATATTTGACTTGAATTAAATGAAATTGAATAAGATGATTTTGAAACAGAGTGAACTCACTGTTGAAGTGACGTTTTTGGTTTGTTGTCATCCAGAAATTTTACTATTATGGCAACGTGACTTAAGGACTTCTCCTCTCTATTGATGTGTGGTTGTTATGATTGGTTGTACACGTGGTTCAGAATTATATTTTGGTGAAAACAGTTTCTTACGGTGGCCCAGAAGGTTCAAACACAAACAAAAAAGAAACTGTAAACAAAAAAAGAAAATGCAAACAAAAAAAGAAAAACACAAATAACACAAAAATTTAAAGCAAAAATGCAAACAAAAAAGCACAACACAAAAAAAAAGCAAAACGCAAATAAAAAAGAATAATGGAAGTGACCTGGCTTTTAGGTAGAAATTATATCTATGTCATTGGACTAGCCCCTTCTTGATAATGCTAGCAATTTTTTGACATTAATTGGTTAATCAAGCATTTTTTTTCTCACTTTTCTGTATATAGAATTGCTAGCATTATTTAGCATTTTGCATAACTTTGATCTAGATTTCAGCACTCAAAAGATTTTAAATGCTTAATTTAGAATTCAAAAGCATTGTGATGATTTGCTTTTGTGTTTGAGAGAAGGATTTATGTAACTAAACTATGAACTGAGTGCAACTGAACTGACTCAAAAGAAGTCTGGAGCTAGCTGCTCAGAAGTTAACTTTTTAATTAGAAGCCGTTCACGCGCTTGCTCAAACAAGACGGCGTCGGCCAGTGCATAGACCAGTCCCTTCAATGATAGCGCTTCAGCAGTGAAGTAAGTTCTCCTTGTCCAACCACCGTCTGCTACGGCAGAAAGACTATACTGAGAGCATCCTTCAACGAGCTACAGAAAGTGCTCTTGTTGACTACCTCCAGGCCAGGCTTTTGAGAAAAAACCGACTGTTTTGCAGTCTAGCATCATGTCACAGTACAACAAGCTCTAAGGACTTCAAACATTATCAATTGTTTATCATTGGACAAGTTTTGGCTGTATCAGGGGTTTTATAAACAAACAATTAAGCCCTTTTCACTTTATTCAGTTGATAATAAGCACACAACATGATGCCTGAGTTTGCACGTTTTGCTTGAAATAAAACAAAGCATTTTCTAGAACCAAAGTAGCATTATTTTGAGAATCAAGCACAATTTGAGCACTTTGTGGCATAAAAAGAGTATTGCTATGAGTATAACATGCCAGTTTTACTAGCATAATCAGGAAAGGCCTACACCCAACCCAAGCCACTGCGCATTTGGTTATTGTTCTTGTAAGCACGATACAAAAGAGTGGTACTGGCGACAACAATTTTGTCAAATGGAAAAGAACATTTTGGTCTGACGGACCTAAATGATCAGGCCCGGGTTGCTCGAAGCATGGTTAGCACTGACCAGCGTTAAATACCATGGAAACCTATACATTTTGATACCTCTTAACCAACGGTTAGCGCTAACCAGGCTTCGAGCAACCGGCCCCAGACCGTCAAAGTGGACCACAGTACCTTCAAAGCTGGTCCTGAATATTCCGGTTGGACCAAACCGAAATGGTCCATTCCATTTGATGCACCGACTGAAAGTTGCAGAATTTGGGCTTGAATGGAAGGTGCCCTAACAGTGCACAATTTTTTCCAGGACTTTTCACAATATCACTGAAATAGGTTTCCATGATCTCAACACACAGAACTGAAAAAGTTTTCTCCATGTAGAATTGAATCCTAGGGCTTGCAAAGAAAAAATTTACAGAATAAAAATTGTAAAATATTCCATTGAGCCTATCACAGTAGATGGAAAAACAACCACAGAAGCCCTTACTATTGCAAATGGCTTCTGCACATATTTTACAAATGTTGTGGAAAAGTTGCTTTCTAGTATTCCACCTCTTAACTGCATGGAACCAACTGAGCACAGAAGCATGTTTGAATAATTCAAGTCAATCTTTGTTCTCTTTGAAACCAGTATCAGCGCATTTGTTCATTGTCAACTTAGGCTGCTTAACACATCAACAGGTACAGGACTTGACGGAATTCCAGCCCGTCTACTAAAGGATGCGGCTCCAAGCATTTCAGCTCTGCTAACAGCCATAATAAATCTCTCGATTTCTTCTGCAGTTTTACCGGAGGAATGGAAAAAAGCAAAGGTGGTTCCACTTTATAAAGATGGGGATAAGAAGTGTATGGATAACTACCGTCCCATCTCCGTTTTACCGGTGGCTTCGAAGATCCTTGAAAGAGCCGTGCGAATACAGCTCCTCCCACATATACTCTGGGCTCCGTTGCTCCATCCAACATTTAGATAAGTCCAGTCAGCTATCTCCCTTCCAGTGTGGTTTTCGAAAAAATCATTCTACCCAGGACGCCGTTACATATTTCACGGATTGTATTAGGAAAGGCATTGACAAATGTTGTGTTACAGCAGCAGTGTTTGTCGACTTTCGAAAAGCCTTCAACAGTGTAAATCACCAACTTCTCCTAAAGAAACTGCCTGGGTATGGTATCAAAAACCATGAACTGAGGTGGTTTAAGAACTACCTTACAAGTCGATGTCATTCTGTTGTCTATGGCAGCACAAAGTCTGCACCTCAGCAGATAAAATGTGGCCTCCCACAAGGTCCATACTTTGTCCGATTTTGTTTTCGATTTACATCAATGACTTGCCCAACTGTTTACTTCAGGCAAAGATCCTACTTTATGCAGACGATGCTGTCCTTTTCTACGCTGACTCCAATATCGGAAACATAAGTACCGTTTTGAATAAAGATCTAAAACAGTTGCAGTCCTGGACCCATCTTAATAACCTGTGCATTCACCCTGTGAAGACCGAATACGTTCTTTTCGGCACTCAACAACGAATCGCTTCGGCTACCCTTTCAGATGGGCCATTTAGCTTATTCCTTGGGGATAATCCGATAAATCAAGCACAACATCACAAACACCTTGGTGTGCTAAAAGGTGCAAATCTCAATTTCAACCAACACGTGGATAAGCTACTGGTTAAGATTTCCAAGAGAATCGGTATCCTCGGAAGAATTAGAAACAATCTAACTGTCGATGCAGCCAAGAACGTTTATCAGTCTCTTGTTCTGCTGGTTATGGATTATTGCGATCTTGCTTGGAGCAGCATTGGGAAAATAGAACGTGATAAGTTAGAACAAGCACAGAGAAGGGCAGCTAAGATTGTTTTGAAGACCAAAGATTCAGACGCTGAAAAGAATTTAAAGTGGCTTCCCTTGTCTATGAGGCGTGATAAGCACACTATTAACTTGACTTTTAAATGCTTGAAGGGATCCCCTCCAATGTTTTTTAAAGATTATTTTAAGGTTTTTAGAACAATCCACAACACAAGGGGAAGTGGGCAAAACTTGCTGCTCCCCAAAGTCAGAACTGAGATGGCAAGGAAGTCTTTTTATTTTAATGGATCTAAACTTTTTAATCATATTGCAAGTGAAATGAAGGATTCTAAGTCAGTTGTGATTTTTAAAACTCGTACATTTTTGGAATTATATAGATCAAAAGTTTTTTAGTTACTTGTTAAGTTTTTGTATTAGTTTAGCTTTTAAATGGATTTTAATTGCTGTATTTTAGCTTTTCTAAACAATGTTTTAATCTTGTTGTATTTTTAACTTTTAGTGTATTTTTAGTTACTGTAATTTAGGCTAGTTTTACATACATATATATATATATATATATATTTAAGCAATAGACCACACTTTCTATGGGTTTACCGGCGTGATAACCCACGCGGGATGTTGGGAGAACATGAGAAAAGCTTGTAAATCACGAGCCGAAGGCGAGTGATTTACAAGCTTTTCGAGTAAATAAAATGTGGAAACCAACGCTTTTGAAGGGCTGGGTAAGTAACTTGTTCTGCTTTTTAGCCTTTCTAAAATCATTGTTTGCAGATCAATAGCCAGTTTTGTTTATGGCTCATCGTCCGTCCGTCCTTTTTCTATGGGTTTACTGGTATAATAAACCATAGGTTTTTGACCAATCAGATCATGGGTACTATCTCAGTTATTTTATAAATATATATATACCGGTATATATATATCTGTCTGGATTTGCAAAAACATGGCTACAGAAATCTCTCTTATATACCCTCTCACTGAGTCTTGTAATGGAGCATGTTTTTTTGTTTGTTTGTTTGTTTTTTTTCCTTAGTTTCTTTTTATTTATTTAATCAGTACTGGATAGGAAAACATAGATAGACTTTGATGAGTTTCTCACTGTCTATTAACCTATTACCCCCCCCCCCTCCTTAAAAAACTTCCCATAATTCTCTCTGTATGTCAGTTTGAAATCAGCGCGCGTATTAGACTGAACTCGGCTTTCATAGTGGGTTGTCTTATAGTTTTTTTTGGCTGCCTTGAGCAAAGTTTTCCGGAAGGCATCATTAAGCCTTATGAAGGAACAATTCTCATGTCTGGCAAAGTCTGCTGCGTCCAATATCTTCTGGTATTTCGTCTCATTTTGGGCTACACGGGTGAAAGACTGATCCTGGGCTTGAGACGGAAAGATTGGACATTGCGAGCTTTGTTGTTGGCAGTAACAAGTCTTTGGCCTCACAAAGTAGGTTCTAGGGTTGAAATCTATTAGGCAAGATGGAAATTCATGCTGATTTCTGACCAGGCCAAAGACTTAGTAAAAAATTGTTTGGAAGGCAGGGGCTGTATGTCTCCTTTTCAACTGCTGGTTTACATCCAGGATCTTGAATAAATCAACTGTCAGTGAGTCGAGAAAAGTTCCATGTGACGATTTGCGTGGAGAAAGTGAGAGTTTTACGGAGTAATTTGACGATGTTTCGCCCATGTTAAGTGTGGAAGTAGTTTTTGGAAGTGTTGTGATTGCCGCGAACGTCATTTATTGTGTGATTTACCGAAAGTGTTGACAGACAAATCTCAGGTATGTGCGGTTGAGCTCGTGTTACTAGAAGACTTTGTGTCAAGCATAAAAACGCTTCGTGAGTGTTTAGTTCAGGTGATTTTGTCTTAGAAAGCCTACTCTGTGCTCAGAGATTGTGGATTCTTAGTCTGTTTTCGGCCGACACTAAACTGTGGGCCTCACGGTTTGACTGACTAAAAGATTACAATTTCTGGACGTTTCAAATGTTGTTTATTTCATCGCAAAATCCTGTTACTTCTGCGAGAGAACTTTACCATCTATTGCCAGCAATAATGCTGTCATTGTTTAGCTTGAGCTAGTGACTTTTAACTGCTAACCCATTCCACTTAGATGTCAAATAGTTAAAATGCACTTGAAATTTGCGACAGATATATATATATATATATATATTTTTTTTTTTTTTTTTTTCCCCAGGGCCCTCGTTTATAGCAGCATTTTATGCTGAAGAGATAACCCTGGCTGAATAATGTCTATTATTATTATTATTATTATTATTATGTAAAAGTTCTTCCAACAAAGGACCAAAAAGCACTTTAAGAAGGTATCATTAGATAATGTTTTGTTTCTACAGGACCAAAACAGCAAGGCAATCATTAACTCTGTAGGCAAATAGATAAAAATAATGGTAATAGACCTGAGTGGAGTCCAATTCAGTCTGTAATCATATGAGTGATTAACAAAATCGGACAACCGCATCTAGTAGCGGGAGTCCATTAATCACAAGTAAGATTACAGACCAAATTGGAGTACAAAAAATTTTGTTACCAATTAATCAAAACTATAACAATATGTGCTTCACTCTCTGTTAAAAGTATGAAATTTGGCATGATCATAGTTTTCAAGGCCCTAACAAAGATAGGATATAAATAGTGCCATCGCCAAAAAGTCTGTGCAAAAAATAAGAGTTTTAAAATGGTGGCAATTTTGAACCAGAAGTGAAATTAAAATTTTCTTTAAAACGTCTGAATTTCAGCAACTTGGATAAGAAAATGTCAGTGTGCACGATGACGTAAGAGTTTAGGAGCGCGCTAGGCCTTCTGAGAGAGATCTGAAAACGTGTTGCGTTTTTCTTGTAGCCATCTTGACGATCTGTGAGCCTTTAGTGAATTGAATCTGTGGAATCCTGTGTAATCCTTTAGAAGTTGGACCCTTCGGAGTGTTGTAACCTTTAGGAATCGAGCCTGACAATCCTTGGAATAAAATACAGTTCATATTCGCCTACATGGTCCATCGTTAGCCGGATAAAAGCGGATTCTACGTACGAGTTGTGAGTGAAGTTGTGTTGTGTTATGGCCGAAGAACTCACCAGAAAGCGACGGCAGCGTGCAGGGCACAGGTCAAGTGCGAAACGTATTATTTCATCCGTTATTGATGTCCTTGGAGGAGGAGACATTTCTCAAGTGCGGGAACACGAAATCAAGCTGAAACAACAAAGGGACAGCCTACAGCAGAAACTCAATACTCTTCGGCAACTTGATGCAGAAATTTTTGACCTTGTGGGTCAAGAAGAAATCGAAGGTGAAATTGAGCGAGCAGATTTGCTGGAGGAAAATGTTCAGTTGGCTATTGCTAACATAGAAAACGCTTTGTCGTCGAAGGTCGTGTGTTCAAATGTAAATACCGGGCGAACGTGTCGGAAAGCACGCCAGCAAATGAAGTTCAAATCGGGAGTAATTCTTCGCCTCCTTCAGCTTCAACGTCGAATTCCTCTTCATCTGTGCGGAGAAATACTCAAGTTAAATTGCCAAAGCTGGAGTTAAAGAAGTTCGACGGCGATCACAGTAAGTGGATTTCTTTCTGGGATAGTTTTGAAGCCTCAGTTCATAAAAATGAGAGTTTAACTGCCATTGACAAATTTAACTACCTAAACTCGTTGCTCGAACGGTCAGCGGCAGAGGCCATTTCCGGGTTAAGTCTTGGGGCATCGAACTATGAGGAAGCAGTAGACATTTTGAAAGCTAGATTTGGCAACAAGCAGCAAATAATTAATCGTCACATGGAAATTTTGTTGAATCTTGAGTCTGTCACATCTCACTATCATGTAAGAAGCCTACGTCAGCTGCACGACACTGTTGAATCTAATGTGAGAAGCTTAAAGTCATTAGGAGTTTCACGTGAATCGTATGGGGGTTTGCTATCATCCATCTTAATGAATAAGCTACCTCAAGAATTTCGTCTTGTTATTACAAGAGAAATTGGAGATGATGATTGGCAGTTGGATCAATTGCTCAATATTTTTAAAAGAGAACTTGAGGCAAGAGAAAGGGCAGGAGGGTCTACGGTGAACAAAGGACAAACCTCTCCACCAAAACCGAAACGAAGGGAAGAAGGAACTACTCATGCCTTGTTAACTGGTGGTGATGCTAACTGTCCCACCTGCACCTACTGTAGGGGGAAAACACCCATCAAGGGATTGCCAAACAGTACCTGATGTACTAGCTCGTAAGGAGCTTTTGAAGAAGTACGGGAGATGTTTTGTTTGCCTGCGAAAAGATCACATTAGTCGTAACTGCTCAGCCAAATTCAAGTGTCATAACTGCAAGGGCAGACACCATGTTAGTATTTGCCCAGCCAACCTGAGTCCTTTACAGCCAACGAAACCTGAAACACCAGTTCCCACACCAGGACCACAACAGCAATGCTTAACAGCTCAAACTGCCAGCAATAGTGTCGTTTTTCATACTGATTCCACTACACCTGTGTTCCTTCAAACTGCCCAAGCAGTGGTGTACAATCCTCAACAGCCAGAGGTTAAGGTCAGGGCTAGAATAATCTTGGACAGTGGAAGTCAGCGCACCTATCTTACAAACAACCTGAAGAACATTCTTCAACTACCTACACTAGAGAAGAAGCAAGTCTCAATAAAAACCTTTGGAAGTACCGTTGAAAGATTAGAGTTGGTAGAAGTTGTGGCCCTAGGAGTAGAGCTAAACGGAGAACCAGATCTTTCACTGTCAGCTTTTACATTGCCTCTAATTTGTCAACCATTACAAGGTCAACCTGTGGAACTAGCAGTGAAAAATAACCCCTGCCTTTCGGGACTCAAACTTGCTGACTTTTGTACCGAAGGAGAGACTCTTGGTGTTGACATTCTAGTTGGTTCAGATTATTATTGGAAGTTGGTGACTGGCCACACCATTAAAGGGGCCCAAGGTCCTACAGCTGTTCACACCAAACTGGGATGGGTACTTTCAGGACCCGTTTGCTTAGGGAGTGTAGAAAATCAACAGAGAAGTAATCTTGTGACAACCCATGTCTTAAAATGTGCTACTGATCAAGTGTCTTATGATGGTCTTCAGGGAGAGTTGAAGAAGTTCTGGGACTTAGAGTCTCTCGGTGTGAAGCCGCCAAGTGTCTATGAAGAGTTTGTTGAGAAGTTGTTGTACAAGGGAGACCACTATGAGGTCAGTCTCCCGTGGAAGGCTACACATCCACCACTCCCTGAAAATTATGAGTTGAGTCTTCGAAGATTGCAAGGTTTGCTGACTCGACTCCGTGAGAAGCCAGACATCCTGAAGGAGTATGACAGTGTTATAAAGGATCAAATCGAAAGAGGAATTGTGGAAGTTGTGAATGAAGAAACCAAGCCTGATGTCGTCCATTACATCCCTCATCACGCTGTTATCAGATGAGACAAGTCAACTACAAAGTTAAGAATTGTATATGACGCCTCAGCCAAGTCAGATGGAGCTTCATTAAATGATTGTCTTCATGCCGGTCCTGCGCTTACACAAAGTATCTTTGACATTATGTTGAGGTTCCGAAATCACAGAGTAGCTCTGGTGGGAGACATTGAGAAGGCGTTCTTAATGGTCCATATGAATGAAACTGACAAGGATGTACTCCGTTTCCTGTGGGTCGATGACATCGATAAGGCTGAACCTAAAGTTATTACACTGAGGTTTACACGAGTTGTGTTTGGACTCTCTTCAAGCCCATTCTTACTGAAGCATACAATTAAACATCATATAGAGCAGTATGAACAATGTGACCCTGATTTTACCAGGAAGTTTCTTGAAAGTATCTATGTTGATGACCTGACATCGGGGGACAGTGACGTGGACAGCACCTTTGAGCTCTATATGAAATCGAAATCGAGGCTCAGGGAAGCAGGTTTCAATTTGCGGAAGTTTATCACAAATTCAGGAGAACTGCGAGCGAGAATTGAGGACAATGAGAGATTGGTCTCAGGAGAAACAGCTTCTGGAGATGGAGGGAATGTTGACAAGCAGGTTGTTGAAACACCAGTAGTAGACACAAACGTCGTGGAAGAAGAAGATATGACCTATTCAAGAAGTGTTCAAGGAAGTGCAGTTGAAGATGTTAGCGTTCAAAGAATTTTAGGGACTAGATATGGAACTATCACAATGACAACCTCGTGTTTGATTTTACAAACACTGCCTCTTTAGCAAAGAGAGTAGAACCTACTAAGAGAAACGTGATTAGCACAGCCTCAAAAATGTATGATCCACTCGGTCTGATTTCTCCGATCACAGTCCAGTTTAAAATCCTGTTTCAAGAGTTGTGCAAGGACAAGAGAGACTGGGACGAACCACTGGAAGGTTCTTGCAAGTCAATCTGGCAGAGATTGGTGACACAACTGCAGGGTGTTAAACCTCTTACTCTTCCGAGATGTTATTATGCTGGCACGGAAGGGGAAGTGATTCTGAGTGAACTGCATGGGTTCTGTGATGCATCAGCTAAGGCATACGGTGCGGTGGTCTTTCTGCGACAGACGACGTGTGCAAGTTATGTCAGATTTGTATCTTCAAAAACACGAGTAGCACCTCTCTCGAGCAGACCATATCGCGTCTAGAACTGCTATCCATGGTAGTCCTGTCCAGACTGATCCATAGCGTAAAGGAAGCACTTAGTTCTGAGATGAAGATTGACAAATTGTTTTGTTGGACAGATTCCAAGATAGCCTGGTATTGGATTGTTCAGAGCCAGAAGGAGTGGAAACCATTTGTTCAGCACCGTGTTGACGAGATAAGAAAGCTTGTACCTGAAGAATGCTGGAATCATTGTCCAGGGGCTGACAACCCAGCCGACTTACTCTCTATAGGTATGGACTGTCGTGAGTTGGAGAACAGTGTGCTATGGTGGAATGGTCCCAAGTGGCTGACTAGTTTCGAAGGCCTGGAGAATCGGAAGGAGATTGCGGAAGAGCCAGTCCCTGAGGCCTGCCTTGTAGAAATGAGGGTGAAGGATCGGAAGACAGTAACGACAGCTCTTGCAATGAACAGTGAACCTACTATGCTGTCTAATATCATTCAAAGTGAAGCCTTCAGTAATCTTGGACGTCTCCTGCGAGTTACAGCCTTGGTTCTGAAGTTTATTAAGCTATTAAAGGCACAGCGACAGGGAGATGTGAATCAGAAGCCGGAGATACGTGTGACCGGTGCAGACATAGAAGAAGCCGAACTTCTATGGATCAAGGAAGTACAACGAGAGATGACGAGTAAGGAGAAGTTTAAGATGAGGTCGCACCAGCTAGGGTTGCTTGAGGACGATAAGGGAGTTATTCAATGTCAAGGTAGACTCGGGAACAGCGAGCTTACAGATTCTGCGAAGTATCCAATCTTGCTTGACGCTAGCCACCACTTAACTACACTTGTAGTCTGGAGATGTCACGAAAGAGTCATGCATGGAGGAGTTAAGGAAACACTCACGAGTTGAGATCGAACTTTTGGATTGTTCGAGGCCGATACTTTATCAGAAGTTTGTTGTTTAGATGCACAGTTTGTAAGAAGTTTGAAGGAAACCGTATAAGGTTCCACAAGCTCCACCCCTGCCTAACTACAGAGTGAAAGAGGCGCCTGCATTCTCGTACATCGGTTTGGATTATGTTGGACCTCTTTTTGTGAAGTCTACCAGTGACGAAGAATGTAAGGTCTGGATTTGTTTGTTTACTTGTTGTTCTCACGAGGGCTGTCCACTTGAGGTTGTGCCCAATATGACTTCAGAGGCATTTCTGAGGTGCTTCAGAAGATTTGTAGCTCGTCGTTCAAGGCCTTCTTTAGTGGTATCAGACAATGCCAAGACGTTCAAGAGTGCTTCTAAGGAGCTTGAGAAGATTACAAATGATCCCAGTGTTGTTAAGTATTTTGCTCAAGAGAAGATCAAATGGTCCTACAACTTAGAGAAAGCCCCATGGTGGGGAGGTTTTTTACGAAACGACTTGTCAAGTCACTGAAGAGATGTCTTAAGAAGACAATCGGCCGAGCCAAGCTTTCCTATGATGAACTTGTAACTGTTGTTACAGAAGCTGAAATGATCTTAAATTGCCGACCCATTTCATATGTCTCTTCTGAGGACCTGGAAGAACCCCTCACACCGTCCCACCTCATTGTTGGTCGAAGACTCGGCGCCCTTCCTGAAATAGACAGTCCTGCAGATGCAGATTTTAGAATTTCGCCGGACGACCTGAGCAGAAGAGCAAGACACCTTGATATGATTCTGACTCATTTTTGGAGGCGTTGGAGAGCAGAATACCTTCTTGAATTACGAAATGCCCATAACCAATTGAAGAAGACGGCGGGATCAAGGGTAGTGTGTGTCGGAGATCTGGTATTGGTTCATGACGAAACCCACCCAAGATCTTATTGGAAGATGGGCAAGGTGGAACGGCTTCTGATGAGCAAAGATGGGCAGAGTAGAGGTGCTGAGGTCAGAGTCCAAGGGAGAGGATCAAGTGGAGGTGGACTCTTAAGGAGACCGCTACAATTGTTGTACCCACTGGAAGTAAGCTGTTCTCTGAATGAAGCAGCTCCTCAGGAACAAGTACTTGAATCACGGAACAGCCGACGCAAGGTCGAGTGAGAGGAAATCGAGGCGCGTGAGAGCTGCAGTCGAGGGAGGCGAAGAAGAAGACAGTGGATTGCTGAATTACAAGACTAACATTAAGTTTGTTTATGTATTCTCAACATTGAACAGTTTTTTTTTTGAGAGAGAGACTATATTCACTGAGTTATATCATTATTATTTTTTTATTTCTTTTCGATGTTTGATTCTAGGTATAGAAGGTGGACCATTCTTCATGGTCCGGGGGGGAGTGTCTTGTGATGACGTAAGAGTTTAGGAGCGCGCTAGGCCTTCTGAGAGAGATCCGAAAACGTGTTGCGTTTTTCTTGTAGCCATCTTGACGATCTGTGAGCCTTTAGTGAATTGCATCTGTGGAATCCTGTGTAATCCTTTAGAAGTTGGACCCTTCGGAGTGTTGTAACCTTTAGGAATCGAGCCTGACAATCCTTGGAATAAAATACAGTTCATATTCGCCTACAGTCAGCAAATGCCTAAGGCAGCTGTTTTTTCATACAAAGAGATATTATTTCAACACAAATTGACTAAAAAAATAACATAGATATAAGTGGCCGCCAGCTAGACCGGAAGTAAAACTACCAGAGTCGGAACTTTTAAGGAATGAGATTAACTTCCGTTGTGCCTGCTGGTTTTCTTTACTTGAATATTTTCTTTAAATCTAAAGTATACACTCAATTTACTATTTTCATTATGTAAAATCCATTGCTAAACTTGAGCCTAATTTGGGTATGATACAGAATATCGAAGAATAACAGGTGATATCTTGGTGACTTAATAACTTGATACTTCATGAAGACAAGAGCTTGTAATCGAAAAAAGAGTTTAAGATTGCCTTTCACGATTATCACGGTTCTTTGCACAGCCCTTCTAACGAGTGTACTTGACTCACTCATCTTTTTAATTTCTGACAGTGGTGTGCAGGAGAGTCACCACTCTCCTCTTAAAGATATCCAGCCCTAATCTTGCAGACTAGGAACCGAGATGCTTGGTACCAGTGCCTGCTGACTTCATATGTGACCTGCATGGTTTGCCGTGCCCTTGAAATGTAAAGAACTACTTTTTATATCGTATAGAAGAACGTGTAAGTGAAAAACACTCTGATTATTTCTGGAGGTGACCAGAAGTATTCACCGTGTCACATACTCTGAATGCAAGGAACAGAGGAAGTGCAAGGCAGCTTTTAGTAAATATGTTAGCAATCTCGTAGGCTGCAAGGTAGTGTACATGTACCTCAGTACCAAGATATATGATAAGGAAGCTAACTTGGCTTCATGGTAGAGAAGCTTCATAGGTAGTTAGAATGGAGAGTGGACTTAAAGAAAAATCTTGGACACAACAACATTACACTTATGGAGAGGCTTAACTTACATTTCAATATATCATATCTTAACAGAAGGGAATCTGCTTTGTGATCTAGCACAACAATAAATGCTTTCTAATTAATTGCCTTCAAACGATGCAGGGAAAAAAAGACTGGACATCTGGCCCTCGACGACATTCGTTGCTCAATGTGTAAGGACTCTAAAAAGCACCTGCTTGTTTTGATCTTTACTAAAGAATTAGCTTTTTCCAGTTTCTTAGTATAGCTCCTGATACATGTTTACCCCAGATCTTAGTCTTCAAGCTGTTCTCGGCACGACATTTGTCACACACTACATCCAAGAAAATATGTTTTACAAGCTCAGGGGATTAATGTAAGTGATGCATATTCAGAAAATTTTGAAAATGGTAAACTTTGAAATGAGCAGACGTTATCAATTTCAATCCACTATGAACATCCACAGGGTGTTATTTATACTTCTCAATAACACAAAATCGTGGCGCTATTATATCTCAAATTACTTTGAAAGCCGCAAAGCATTTAGACTACAAGTAGTCCCCCATTTTTCCTCGGAGAGAGCAAAACGCGAGTGGGTTGTATGTTGAGTTTTTCTATATTTATACATTTTGGGGTTTTCGTCCACTTTTAAGGAGCGATTGTCTTTGCATGAGAGGCTAGATAAGCTTCACTAATCTTTAAAACCAGTAGACGAAGTAGAACAGAGAAGATAGGCAAAAAGTAGATTAATGAAATGAAAAAACATACATGTAAATAAAATAAATGCAGATACTGTACACGTCAAGTCACGGAGCCACGAGTACACTTAAATCGGATCGACCTCTATCTACAGAAGAACTCACCTAAATCCTCGGCTAATTTCTGTTCGCTTAGCGCCTCAGAGTCACTAACAACATTTATTAAAGTATAGCACGGCAGTTCTGCCGTAGACATACTGAAAATCGTTAGTTATGAGCACAAATAAACCTTCAATCTCCTTCCCCGAAATAAAAATGGCCGCCTCGCTGACGTGTCGAGTGGAAAAAATCAATCCCCAACCTCGTCCCCAGGGTCTTCTCGCTTTCCAATATGGCGGCGGCAGGAGAGAAGACCCTGGCACACCGGCACACAGCAGAAATCATGTGACTGATTTGTCCACGGAGAGTGGAAATTTATTCAAAATGGCGGCCAAGATAAAGAGTGAGAGGATCTGGGTAAGAGGTCTTGAGACTGGTAAAAAACAAACAAAATGGCGGCAAAGGCAAACTCAAAAGAAGCTGAAAATATGAAAGAATACACTTACAAGCCACAGGAATACGGTAGAATGATATAGCGATCTTATTTTCTGTTCAATGACCTTCATTTTTTTTAAGCCTGAACGTTCTGTAGCGTACACGGCACTCGATACCGACCTTTTTCACTGTTCACTTTTTTTGCCCACCCTGAGTGCCAGAGGTTCAGTTTTCTTTTTTCGTGAAAGGGGGAGCTTTTTCTAACCGTGAGCGCAATTTATTTCATCTTAGGAATTTCAAGAACAGACTTAGAAGCCTGGGAATTTTTTGTCATGACGCTCTAAAACCTCTTCCGTTCCGAAATTCAATGAACTAAGCATTAACTTATATAATTAAGTCGCGGACACTTTAAGCTGATAAGTTATCGTCAGTTTTGTTACAGATCTTCATGAGGTTTTTGACTATTGTTTTTCTGTCTGCACTCATTTTAACTGAACTCTGATATGTAAAAAAACAATTTTTTTTTCTCAAAACAAGAACCAGAGAACACTATTTTGCTAAGACAATTCAAGGAAACTTTGGTTGAAAATTAAACAGTTCCTTTTCAGTTTGGATATTTTGTCACTTGATCTGGTTCAGGTAATAAAATTATTGTCAATCTTCATCTACCTCACAGTTTTTAGACTTTCTTATTGGCTTTGATATCTAATCCTGTTCACAATGCTTCCGGGCAATAGAGTTGGGGGCCTTATTTTATCTAGCAAAGACGCTGATATTAGTTCCCCACACAAAAAAAATGCCAACTGAAAAAGCCCAAGTACAAGAAGGTTGGAGGTCAAGCAGCCGATGATAAAAAACAAATCCGAACTTCCAGTTGCTGAATAAACCATCCTGGATCGGTCCACACAAAGTTTTACAGTTGTCATTGATTGATACAGTCTTTTATTTATTAGTGAAGAATAAGAAAAGGAGGGAAGGTGGGATGGGGGTTAAAAGAGAGGGGGGCTTATTTGAGAGAGTGGGGCCTTAACAGAGGATTTAATATGTTGTTGTTGTTGTTTTTTTTTTTGCCTCTCAGATGTAAAAAAAAGCATTAACCCCGCTTTAATAGCTACCACAAAGTGAAGAGTGTTTCCATTGGTTGTAATTAAGCAATCCAAAATGTATTCTTCACTTTGAAATAGATTTTTATTTTTAGAGCAAAAACTTTCTTAATCCCTGACTTTGGTTCATTTTACATATTACTTGGGGCTGCACTTTGCCATGACAATTTACAAATTGACTAAAGGCTAGACTCCAGTTGTTCAAAAATTTGATAGTCCTATCTGACTCATGTGCACTGTAAAAGTTCCTATCTCATTTGGAGATAATAATCTTTTAAGTCAAACACGCTTTGCGTGTCAGATGGGCCCTTTCGTAGTCTAATTGAGACATAACTTGGTAGTGGTGTGCTGATTATCTATCATAATCTATCATTGATCTGAAACCTAAAGCAAAGTGAGTACTACTTAATATACAAACGTTCAATTGATTGTTGTGGAAAATACACAAAAACATTGTTAACAAATAAGGACATGAATACACCTGTGTTGTCTTTTTGATGGCCTCTTAAGGTAGTTTATATGATGTTTAGTTGGTTTAACTATGTGACAGATAAGCTTCTGCTTGCGGGGTAGGTTTTTGTTTTATTCACTTACAAAAGTATTTTCAGTGTTGAAAGTGGTGCACAGGGGTCACAAAACTATTATCTACTATAACTGATTATCAGTTTAATAGTTGGGTTTATCTGATTATTTCTGATGATATGATTATGATACAGACACTATGACTAAGACTAACCAACACCTTAAAGTAGACTTTGGAAGTATTTGAGCCAGCACATCTAACAGCTGCATCCTCACAGCCCAACACCTATACAAGCTAAAAGCCTTCCCTTGGCCCTGTGGGGCATTTTCCCAGGTCTTCTTGGTCAATTCATTTCTGTGACTTATCTTAGGCAAACTGGAGGGAAACTGTTTCACTATATTGCTTGGGGCCACGTGACCCGAAAATCATTGGCCATGACTAGGCAACTAAAAGCTCACTATGGTAATGGGGACTCTGGCGCAAAACACTTCAAAAGCCTTGGCATCCCTAAATGAAAAATCCTGGGATCAAGATGCTGCAGGCCTCTTCTGCTCTTGTTTATTCAGTGGATAGTGATATATGCACCCTTTGAAGCAGTTTATTTTTTTAAATCCAAATTTTAGAACTGAATTATAGCTGCTTCATAATCATACCCAGCTGGTTTTGGAATACTACAACGCCAGCCACTATTTCACCTGGTCCACAAACCCCCTTTTCAAGCATATGGTGACAAGAACAACATGCAGTGACAAGAACAACATGCACACTTAGCCTACAGTAATTAGAAGCTCAATTAACAGGTTTTGGTTTGACAGAAAACGTATTTATCTTAGGATCACTGTCACCCCATCTAAGGGAATCTGGAATCTGGGAAATTTTTCTCTTGGAAACTGAAATAAAGGTCAAGTACTCTGGATCCCACTTATAATTGGAATCCAGAATCCAAGTTCCACTGACAAAGAATCCAGAATGCAGTATCCATGGAGCAGAATTGAGAATCCAAGACTGTCCGATTTCCTTGCATGGGCTGATCATTATTTTCAACTTGATAAAATAAAAGACATCATGTGCTTTCATTATTTTATTTTTGCAACTAGAAAGACTAACTAGAAATATGCAAGTTTTTCATTTCTGAGAAAAGGAAACAGTTTATTTTCCCAATGTCTCTGTATTTAGCTGTATTTTACTGCCTATGAAATGAGCAAATAATAATAAATTATCATTATTGTGACACTAAAAACTGAATAAATGAGAAGTCAGGATTAGAAATATCGAAGGATAGCGGCAATATGTTTGGCTTCAATTTCTAGTTTTGTTTCGACATCTGCCTCTCTCGCTCCTCATGCCCCTTCAAAATCACAGTGAAAAAAATTAAAAGAAGGCCAGGTTAGGTCCATGCATGTTACGATCAAATGAAAAAAAAATGCTTCACTGGACAAAAAACTGCTGAGACAAACCACAGATTCAGATTATGCACGATTTCCGTATAACCCCATACATTAATAATATTATGCATACAGCTATTGTTCAAAGAAAATAAAAGGCAGTTTGCAAACGGACAGCTAAATTTATTGATAAGCTGAAGCCTTGCAAGTATTCTTTGACAAATCGGGAATTAAAGAAACAAATCTTTAGTAATTTAGAACACACAAACCAAATAGAACGAGCAACAGAAATACCTCTACGCCTCATAATATTCCCAGCGATTACCATTTCAAATATCACTATCTTCGAATCTTTGCCTTCCAACGGTACAGTCACAGTTTTCCGAACAATCAGTCCTGAATTCTGTCCACCTTTTAGGTCTCAAACACTGAAGAAAGCACTTCTATTAACCATCTTTGTTTTGGAAGAAATAAACCAATGAGAGCGCACGTATCAACGCGCAACAGAATGCACCAATCAGCGATCGTTTTAGTTCGCTGTGTGCCAGGGTCTTCTCTCCTGCCGCCGCCATATTGGAAAGCGAGAAGACCCTGGGGACGAGGTTGAGAAGACCCTGGCACACAGCGAACTAAAACGATCGCTGATTGGTGCATTCCATAGCGCGTTCATACGTGCGCTCTCATTGGTTTATTCCTTCCAAAACAAAGATGGTTAACCTTTGAGGGCTTCGTAGAGGGTGAGAAGTGCTTTCTTCAGTGTTTGAGAGCTAAAAGGTGGACAGAATTCAGGTCTGATTGTTCGGAAAACTGTGACTGTACCGTTGGAAGGCAAAGATTCGAATGTAGTGATATCTGGTAATCGCTGGGAATATTATAACGCGTAGAGGTATTTCTGTTACTCGTGCTATTTGGTTTGTGTGTTCCGAAAATTACTAAAGATTTGTTTCTTTAATTCCCGATTTGTGAAAGAATACTTGCAAGGCTTCAGCTTATCAATAAATTTAGCTGCCCGTTGCAAAGGTGTAGTATTGTTCTGCCTTTTGTTTTCTTTTGAACAAAAGCTGTATGCTTAATATCATTAATGTATGTAGTTATACGGAAATCTTGCATAATCTGCACTTTGTCTCAGCTGTTTTTGTCAAGTGAAACATTCTTTTCATTTGATCGTAACATTCATGGGCCTAACCTGGCCTTCCTTTTTAATTTTTCCACTGTGATTTTGAAGGGGGACGAGGAGCGAGAGAGGCAGATGTCGAAACAAAACTAAAAATTGAAGCCAAACATAGTGTCGCTATCATTTGAAATTTTTAATCCTGACTTTTCATTTATTCAGTTTTTAGTGTCACAATAATGATAATTTATTATTGTTTGCTCATTTCATTGGTAGTAAAATACAGCTAAATACAGAGACATTGGGAAAATAAACTGTTTCCTTTCTCAGAAATGAAAAACTTACATATTGATGTATTGAAGCTTGTGGGATTTCTTTCTAGTTGCAAAACAAAATAAATGAAAGCACATGATGTTTTTTATTTTATCAAGTTGAAAACAGTGATCAGCCCATTCAAGGAAATCTGACAGTCTTGGATTCTCAATTTTGCGCCATGGATACCGTGATTCTGGATTCTTTGTCAGTGGAACATGGATTCCGGATTCCAGTTATAAGTGGGATCCAGAGTACTTTAGGACCTTTATTCCAGATTCCAAGAGA